AGCCTAGAAGCTCGCTTACAAGGTTTCAGCCAAACAATCTTTAAAAAAAGCTTTTGTGGTCGGGGCTGGCCCCGTGGCCGAGTGGTTAAGCTCGTGCGCTCCACTGCAGGCGGCCCAGTGTTTCGTTGGTTCGAATCCTGGGCACGGACAGGGCACTGCTCATCAGACCACGCTGAGGCAGCGTCCCACATGCCACAACTGGAAGGACCCACAACGAAGAATATACAACTATGTACCGGGGGGCTTTGGGGAGAAAAAGGAAAAATAAAATCTTAAAAAAAAAAAAAAAAGCTTTTATGGTCAATCACTATTCTTGCTGCATTTATATAAATAATCAGGCCGAGTTTAATACAAACAAATTAGTTTTACTATGATTATCATTATTTAAAACTAGAGATTATTGTGGAGAGAGAAATTATGCTTGCACTTTTGTAGATACTAAATTCTAGTCCTATTGTCTTCAAGGTTTTGTTATATACCTGTAAGCTGGACTGGATCCTGAATTATTCCTGTTTCCTTAAAGGTCTGGCTATGATACTCCAAACTGACGTTTCCAATTTTACTGCCCTTAAAATCTCCTTGGAAGGGACTGTCCCCACCCAGGTGACAGCCAAACCTCAGGGACTCGAGCCTTGGGTACACATCTCACAGCTGAAAAGGCTCCACCTGACATCTGGTCCTGACCCAACACCGGAGACCTCAAATCAAACTGACCAGGAAGAGAAGCAGCTGACATGTGAGGCGACAGCTTTCCTGACATGACTGGACCAGGCCTGGACACCCTCTGCCCACTGTTGTTTCTTTACTTTCTCCCTCCCTCTCCTAGAAGGACAATGCCCTTGTTTGCATTTCCCAATCCCTTGCAAAAGGGGGAAACCTCTGTTTGCTGAATTTGCCATCAGAAACCTCGGTCTGTTCAAGACAGTAATGACCCCTTAGTTCACCCTATAAGTACTGTCACTGGGACTCCAGATGCTGTTGTTTATCTAAATTGATCTGCCAGCCCATCCTACCGACTCGGGGTACTAAGCCCACTTAAACTTGCTCCTTGCTTTACTCTAACCCAGCCTTGGGAGGGGAAAACAAGATCTTTTGAATATTTGCATGAAAAATTCTGTGGGGTCACCAATGTAACCCAGGCCATCTGTAAATTTCTTGTTATATCCATATATCTAGGCAACCTCTTGGTATGTGACAACATAGTATCTGAGCCTTGGTCATATAATGCTAACACCCCTATGCCGATGAATGAGTATATAGATGATATTGCCTATGTGGGAGACTTATGTACACCTCCTGGTCACATTTTCATCTGTGGAGGTCTCAGTAATGACCTTTATGCTTGGGCAGCTCGTTGCCTTGACAGCTGAAGACTACAAGGACAGTGTACCCTGGCTGTACTCACTGTCCTGTTCTCTTTGCAAAACCAGAGACCTCTCATTGGTCTCTCCCATCAAATCCCCATAGTTGCTCTAAACAAGAGCTTCCAGGAGGTGTACATGACTCAGTTTGCCTCCATGGGACGAGCTTCCTTCCCATGGATCGGAGCAAGTACCAATCAACAAATGATCGAGAAGCTCTCTCTGACACTAGAAGAGTTGGCTAACTCCACAGCCAAAACAACTTAAGCTCAGCAACGATTGCTTAACTCACTGGCCAAGGTAGGTTTGGATAATGGTATAGCCCTTGATTATCTACTTGCTGAGCAAGGAGGTGTCTGTGCAGTGGGAAACACCTCCTCTTGCTCATAAATGCCTCTGGGGAAGTGGAAACCCAATTATGTAAGATTAGTGAGCAAGCACACTGGCTACAACAAATTTCACCTACCAATCCACTGTCTTGATTTGTTCAGCTGGTTACCTTCAGGTCTGGGCTCCTGGTTTAGAACCATCCTGTAAACTGGGCTCATAGTTTGCTCTTAATCTTACTCTGTATACTTATTGTGAAGTTATGTACCTACTGCTTGTTGAACCTCTGTAAAAATGACGTGCCCGAAAAAGTGATGTTAGCTCAACAATTTGAAATGACTTCCAACGCCTACGACCTCAGACAACTATAGACTTTGAATAGGAAATGCATGAGAGTTCTCCTCCTAACCTGCCTGTTTGCTCAAATGTGGCCTAGATGGTTTTCACCCACTATGCACCTTCCCTCCAATGTGGGACACAACAACCAGGAAAGGTCCTTCTTGGCACCAAGGGACAAGACCACTACATGCAGAGACCTGACTGTTAAGCAGTGGTGCTTTTGGAGAAAGATCTTGATCAAAAGGGGAAATGTAGAAATTAATAAAAGAAAGAAACCTTTACTAAATTGGAGTCAGGAAGCTTTCATGCCCTAGCCTACATCACCAGTTACAGCAAACAGGAAGAGACCTATCCTTCCATCTTGGACAGGAAGTAAAACTACTACTGAAGGAAGATTTCTCTTGCCGCCTGGCAACAGCCCAGCCAATGAGAAATGCTGCAGCTCAGCCAATGAGAAGCCTCTGGGTCCCTGATCTGTTACTTTTCCCCCAAGGGACTTTTATTTAGAACAGCTCCTTCCTATTTCCCCCTTTTCTCTGTAAAAGCAGCTCCCCTCCTTTGTTTTCTGGATTTGCCTATGGTTTGCCACAGCATGCACATCTCCAAATTGCAATTATTTTGGCTATTCCCAAATAAATTCATTTTGAGGATAAAACAGGCAAATTTGCTTTTTCAAGTTGACATGCACCAGCCCACGCTGTCTGAGGAAAGAAAGCACATTCAGCCAGCAACAGCACAGGCAAGCTTTGTTCCTCTGTAATTACCCAAACTATGAGCTGCAGGATGGTGTGAAGCCAGAATGAGCTAGTCCAGTCCACCTCACCCTGGACCTGTCCTCACCTGCCTCTTGCTGCTCTCAGCACCCCACCCACTCCTCCAACTCCCACCTGCGGCAACTCAGGAGCCCCCTTTCTGCTGCACTGTTCCCAGGGGATCAGCTGCCCACTGTGCATATGTGTGTGTGTGTGTGTGAGAGAGAGAGAGAAAGAGAGAGACAGAGAGAGAGAAAGAAACAGAGAGAGACAGAGAGAGAGAGAGAAGGAAGGGAAGCGGAGGCTAGGGGATGGGAAGCCCCCTCAGGAACCCTCCGCCTGACCAGCCTGGGGTTGGGGGGCCAGAGGAGTGTGGTGGCACCTCTGCTTTATTCCTCCTTAATCATCTACTCGTTCTGTTCAAGCCGATCCCTGTCGCACTGAGGACCATCCTGAGAAGTGCTGGGGGATGCGGCGGGGGTGGCAACCGAGCTGTGAGCCGTGGCCACGCCCCCCGCCCCCCAACAAGCAGGGTGCTGGGAGGAGATTCTCAGCCCGGCCAGGCCAGGCCCAGCCCGTGGAGGCTCACACACTTGGAGGAGGGGGCAGAAGAAGGCTCCTCAGGTATTTCTAAGGGAGAAAGCAGCCAAAGGACCAGGGCGCTGTGTAAACCTTGACTCATTTCATCTGCACGGCAACCTGTGGGAGGGCATTATTACCGCAAATTAAAGGAATCTAAGGCCTGGTGATGTGCTAAGGGTCACCCAGCTGTTAAGGGGCAGCTGCGGGATTTCATCCTGGGGTCTTGGCGCCACGGCTCCCGCACCTGAACTGCGGCCTCCAGACAACCAGGCACCAGGAAGAAGCCTGTGCCAAGGACCTCAGAGTGTGGCACTTAGGGAGGGCCATGGCCGGCTGAGGTGACGTGGGAAGCCAGCAGGTGGTAGAAAGGACATGAGGAAGGAGGGCTCTAGCTCACCCACCTGTGCCCATGCTGGATCCATGGGGCTTTGGAGGAGTGCCTGCTGCCCACCACTATCGTCTGTCCCTGCCTGCCCGTCGTGGCCCTTCTCCTCCTCCACTCACATCTCCACGGGGGAATTGCCCCCACCCTCCCCAAGCAGCAGACAGTTTGGAACCTGCAACCCGCACCTCCTGCCTGCCTCACAGAGGGCTGGGAGGGCTGAGGGTCTCCCCTGGGGAGAGCTCTCCAGGGGCAGGACAGGGCCTGGCTGCCTCTGTGCCCTCCATCCTGTCCACGCCAGGAGAAGCTTGGCAGGAGGGGCCTCCAGGACCAAGCCCAGCTCTGCAGACCCTCCCCTTCCCAAAGGTGGGCCCTGTGGTCTAGAAGATTCTCTGAATATCCTCAGGACCCAGGAATGATCTCCAGGGACCCCCATCCTATGGGCCCCTGTTCATGAAACAGCTACTCTGCCAGTTACCTTCCCGTGTCCACTCTGTAAATTTGCACAAATGCGGTAGCCACTAGCTGCATGTGGCTAATCTAAGTTAATTAAAATCAAATCAAATCAAACTCAGTTCCTCAGTTGCACTAACCACATTTCATGTGCTCAATAGCCGCGTGAACCCAGGGTCTATCTTATTGGACAGCACAGATACAAAACATTTCTGTCATCTCAGAAAGCACTATTGGACAGCCCTGCTCTAGATGCTAACCCCACATGGAGGGGAATGACTGGACCCCAAATCTCGAGGCCCAAATAGCCCAGCTGAGGGCAGCTGAGTTTGGGCCCAAGCAGGCATCTGGGGGGATGGTCCACCTGGCTGCACCTTGGCTGGTGCAATCATTGTCCCCGCCCCTCCTTCCAACCTGGAAGACCAGGGAGGGGGTTCTGCAGCATTACCGTCCACCCAGCACCTTCGGAAGGGGGAGGGCTCTGGGAAGTTGCCATTCCTGCAAACTGTGCCCCCGCAGCCTGCCCGGCACGCCCCTTTTTTGAGAGAGCTGGGGGATGGGGGGGCAGGGCGAGGTGTCGCCCCCTCCCACCCCATCTTCCCATCTTTGGTCCTCTCCTGGGGATGTCACCGTCACTGCTGCCGCCTGGGGCTCCAGCAGTCAGGGGGCTCCAGCAGTCAAGGGGCTCCAGCCGGCGGCAGGTCGGCTCCTCCCCGGTCCTGAGCCCGAGCGTCCTCCCGGCCGAGCCCCTCGCGCCCTCCTCCCCAGCAGGCTCCTCCCGGGGCCGGGCAGGGTCGCACTCACCGAGGACCCGGGCGCCGGGGCCAGCAGCAGGGGCACGAACAGGAGCAGCCGCATCTCGGCCTGCGGGAGAGACGGGGTGAGCGGCGCGGCGGGCCCCTCCCGCCTCGTGGCCCACGGGTGGCCCGGGGAACAGCAGAGGGAGGGAACGCCGCGGGGCGCCGCTCACACGCGCAGGGGAGAAAAAGCTCGTGTAAAGTGGCTTCCCAAAGTTCAGGAGTCACTTCTTTCAGGGCTTCAGAGAATTAAAAAAAGAGGACAATTAAAAACACTTCCTTGTTGAAAGCAGGGAGTTCAGAATCAAAGCTATCAGACTCGCTGTTTAAATTCAGCAAGAGATTCCTTTTTTAAAAGCCATTGTACCAGTTGTTTAAAAACTCGTTATTTTTTTTTTAAAGTCTCTGAAGACACTTTTAAAACTCAACTCAAATGCTTTTAAAATGTTAATTGTATCTTACTTTATAAGCCACGCCAGCATTTCTCTGCTGGGGAAGTTCCACCAGCAGGCTCCATAAGCAGTGTGGTGTGTGTGAACAGAGTGCCTGCGTGGAGTTCGGTGTGTGCATGCATGTCCTGCGTGCACGTGCAGTGTGGACAGTGTCTGAGTGCAGTCCGGTGTGTGTGTGCGTTGTGTGTGCACGAGTGTACATGTGTTGGAGAATGACATAAGCAATGTGCCCCGTTCAGTACAAAACATTAAACAAGTACTGACTTGTATGCTTAAATTTAAAAACCTGTATTTTACCGATGTTCTCTTTAATTTTTTTTTAAGAATAAAATGACCAGTTTACAAGGACGAAACAACATACGTAAGTCGAGTTCGACAGAATGTAACCTAGCACATTTAACCACGTACACGCTCTGCTAATTTAGCACCAGCAGTGATTCATTTGGTTCTTAAATTTTCGCAATCAAATCAGAGGTTCCCGGGGCGCGGGGGTGAGGGAGGCGGTGCGCTGCCTCCCCGCCGCCCCCTCCGGGGAGAGCCGCGTGCGGGAGGGGAGGCGGCCTCACCGCCGGAGGGCCGATGACGGACATAAGCGACAGGTGATGCTTCTCTAAAGGAGAGACTGAGGACAGGAGCGAAGAACTTCACTTAAAACTGCGACCGCAGGCGCGCGGCGATTTGCCGGGGACCCGCGCCTGGGATCCCTGCGCGCCGCACCCCGCACCACGCCCCGCAGACGCGGGGGCGGCCGAGGCCGGCGGGACACCCTTCTCCGTCCGTCCCCCAGGCGAGGATCTTCCCCGCGCCCGCCCCGCCCGAGGAGGCGCCCCCACCCCGGCACCGGCTCCGCACCATCCCACCCTCCCGGGGAGCGCGCCCGTGGCCCTACGGCGGGAAGGTGGCGCTTCGGACGCCAGGCGCGGGCGAGGGCAGGTGCGGCCCCGCGGGGAGGGGGCGCGCTCGGTCTCCGGGCCCCGCGCCTGGGCGGCGTCCGGCCGAGGGAAGGACCGAGGAGGCGGGGGCGGCGGCGCGGGGCCGCCCGGGTCGCGTCCGTCTGCCCGGCACCGTCCCCCGCGGCTCCCGGGGTTTTCCTGCCGAGGGCGCGCGGTGCGGAGCGCGGGCTGGCGCTGCGCCCCCCTCGGCGGGCAGAGCCGCAGGCGGCGTCTCCTCCGGGCCCCCCTTCCTCCGACTCTGCTCTCCCTCCCTGCGAGCCGGGTGGGGAAGAAGTCCTGCAGCAGCCCCTGGGCGGCCCCGCCCCGCCGCTGGGTTCCTGTCCCCGCGCCTTCCTACCTGTCCCCGGAGCTGCAGGGCGCGCAGTCCGCAGTGCCGCTCCGTCGGCGCCCGCCCCCGCCCCAGCCCCAGCCCCAGCCTGGGAGGTCCGCCCTGCAGCCCGGAACGCCAGCGGAGGTTGGACTTTCTCTCCCCACTGCTGGCTGGCTTCCTCCCCGCCCCATCTCCCCCCACCCAGCCCTGCTGACACCCACCCCCAATCGCGGCAGGACGACAGTGCCCGGGTGGAGAGGCCCCACAGTGACCGGTGATGCCTAGGGCCTCCATCTCCTTGGGTGTGTGCCAAGGCATGGTCTGCCCTCCCGCCCCATCTCTCTTCTCTTGGGCCGGCACCAGACATCTCTCCAGTCCCAATTCCTCTGCGCCCCAGCCTTCCAGTTCGGTGCCATCCCCGCTCCACGCCCACCTTACGTACGACGCGCCTCTGTGTCCAGCGGAAGGCTTGTCTTCCACCCCTGACGTCTATACTTCCGCCGCGGCTGAGTTTTTCCACACGCGTGCTGCTGTTTGCCACCTCCCAGTCAGCTTGGGGCCCAGAATGCACTCTCCAAACTCCCTCTACCTTTCCAACTCCTACTCACCCGTCAAGACCCTGGTCAAAAGTCACCTTCTCTAGAAGCCTTCCGCACACCATAGCAGGCAGAGCTGGTGGCCCCTGCTCCTCAGTCTCCGTCCCTGTCTGCTGTAGTCCTGCGGTGTGTCACACTGGGACTCTGAGTCTCCCTGACTCAGTTGTGAGGTCCCTGAGAGTGACGCTTGCATCTTATTGCCTCTGCCCAGGGCACTAGTTGGGATCAAGTTAGGGGCTCAGTAAATTCGACAAATTTAATTTCCTTTCCTAGTTGACCTTTTTTTCAACCAAGGCACTCCTTGCCTGCCATCCCTCTTTTGGAACTAGAATTCACCTATCCCTGGGAAAGCAGCACTGGCCCTGGGGCACATGAAAGGTGGGGAGGTCACAGGCTGGTCCCTTTCCCCCATCCTCTTCTGCCCCTTGTCTACTCCCAGCCATGGGTCATTTCTCCCCTGGCCTCCACCGGGGCAGAGAAAAGTCACCAGCGGGGAGCTTGCCCCCCCTTCAGACCCCCGGCTCCTGCAGCTCTTCTCTCCGGGCTGATGCTCAGACAAAATGCTTATTAAACAAAGGCATTTTGATTCTGGCCCATTTCTTACCCATCAAGGAGGAGCAGAGGAAGCAGCAGCTGTATGGAGCCCTGGGGACTTGTGTGAATACTTAGGCAAAGATAAAGCTTGGCAGGGAAGGGAGTGGAATTACCCAAAACCTCTCTAGAAAAGGAAAAATAGTTTCTTCCGTTCAGAAAGCCTCGCTCCCTGCCCCCACCAGCCCGGAATTTTCTGAGCTTGGTCAAAGGTCCCCCTCTAAGTGGAGGAAGCCTGCGAGAGGGGCTGTGTGTGTGTGGGGTGGGGGGGGTGGGGGGGTGGCGGCGCAGCCAAGGCACCTTCCTGACTTGTTTGTGTTTTTTTTCCGTGATCCCTTCTTCTCAGACACCAGGCGGTGATTTCTTACTCCCCACCCCAGCTGCGAAGCCGGCCCAGAGGTTGGGGAGGTAGGAGCCGCACAGGGTTAAAGGGCAGCCTTGGACCCGCCAGCAGTTACTGGCATAGGCAAGTATTTCTCCTCTTCAAGCCTGGCGTCCTCGCCGCTACCTCAGAGGGGACATGGTGAGACAGTGCCCAGAACATAATTGCTGCACAAAAAAAATGGTGGTTTAGAAAGAAGATTCAGGAAATAGTGTAAGACCGTCTCTCCCTTTGTGAACTCCCTTCTGCACGGGCCCTTGGGTGCTCGCCGGCTGCACCAGAGACTTCATGCTTGGGGCGCTGGGGGGCCGGAAGGCAGAAGGAGCAGAGCCCTTGGAGGCAGACAGACTTGGGCTGGGAACCTGCCAGGTGAATGTCAGCAAATCGTGTCACCTCCTTAAGCGTCAACTTGCTCACTTGAGCCTCACACAGCGGGGCCGTGGGGGGGGGGGGGGGGGGGGGGGGGGGGGGGGTGGTGGTGGTAACTGGCTTCTATAAAGCTCCCCTAGGTGCTCAATAAAAGTTACAGTGGTCCCCCCTTGTCCCCGGGGCTACCTTCCAAGACCCCCAGTGGATGCTTGAAACCACAGATAGTACCGAACCCTATACATACTATTTTTTCCTATACATACATACCTATGATAAAGTTTAATTTATAACTTAGGCCAGTAAGAGATTAACAACAATAATAATAGAACAATTATAACAATATTCTGTAATAAAAGTTCTATGAATGTGGTCTCTCTCTGTTAAAATATCTTATGGTGCTCACCCTTTTTCTTCTTGTGATGATGGAGATGATACAATGCCTATGTGACGAGATGAAGTGAGGTGATGACGTAGGCATTGTGATGTAGCGTCAGGCTACTATTGACCTTCTGACGACATGTCAGAAGGAGGATCATCAAGCACGTCAATGTTTGGATGTCAGGAGCATGGTTGTCAGTGGTTGGGGATGCAACAAAGGGATGATTCAGGTCCCCAGCAGGACAGAACTGGACGGCGTGAGATTTCATCATGCTAGTCAGAATGGCACGCAATTTAAAACATGAATTGTTTATTTCTGGAATTTTCCATTGAATATTTTCAGACCGTGGGTAACTGAAACTGCAGAAAGCAAAATCTCAGAGAAGGGGAGCCTGCTGCAGTTCCTTCTGCCCCCTGCTCCCTCAGCCTGTGTCCTGGATTCCTTACATCTCCATCATCTCTGCAGGTTGCAGATCCAGGGACACAGCTAAGAAGTAATGGCCAGATCTCTCTGTGAGGCTGGGTTGGGATGGAAAGCTGGAGAGAAGAGAGCAAAACCCCAAGAGCCTCAGGGCTCCTGGGATGCACTCCCCCAGGAAGCCTTCCCTTACGCGGCCTCTGTGCTCCCATCTGCGGGGTTGGCCCTAGCACTTTGGAACTAGTGCAGTGATGTATCTGTCCCTCTTTTTCCCTCTGTTGTGAACTTCGCAAGGGCAGGGATCTCTCTCTTTCATCACTGTACCCTGGACCGGAGGTCTGTGGCGGCCCTGAAGGGGCCCCTCAAGAGAATGTGGTGCTGGAAGCATGGGTGATTGACAGCCTCCAGACACTTGGGGTCTACACCACACTCTGAAGGCTCTCCCTGCTCCTGCTCCCTCCCCGTTTATCCTCGCAGGCATCTCCCCAGTAGACCTCTTGTACATCTAAACTGAGCTGACACACAGCGTTCTTGGTTGCAAACCACAGGAAAAGACTTAGTTAACTGAAACATACAAGTAGCTTAGAGGAAGGACATTGGGAGCTCATGGAATTGACAGGAAGTCTGGAGAATAAGGCACAGAAATGGGGTGGAATCCCTGCCGTGGTCACATCACGACCCAGGAGGGGTTCTGGTTAGGACCTATTCTACTGGACATTGGACTACTGCCACCATCACGTTTAGGCCACACTGACCCATGTCACCCTCAGAAAAAGCCCTGAATGGCCCTTGTAGACTCCAACCCCAGCAGGAGCGTACCTGTCCCCTGACTGCCGGGACCGAGAAACGAGAATTGGCAGTTTCCCCGAATGGGAAGCTCAGGTGCTGGGCTGTCCCGGACAAGAAACGTCCTCTCTGCCCGCAGCCCTTAGCACATGGTGTCTGTGGAACTGAACGTGCAGAATGCTGCTTCTCACCCTCCTTCTCTTTTTGGTGCTGGTTGTTCGTTCATCTGTTCATTCCTTGAATAACTGAGTGCTTACTCTGTACCGGAAGCTTGTGGTAAATGTTGGGCAACCAGCTCTCTGGAGGGAAAAGCACAGCTTTGTAGCGTTGATCAGTTTCCCTGGCGTAACTGCTCCAAGGCTGTGTTCAAGCACCAAGTGTCACTAACGGGGAGCTGGCGAGAGATGCACCATCGGCTCTCCTGCTTGGGCTCCAACCACAGATCGTCCTGCTCTGGGGAGGTTACATTCTAGTAGGGGTTGCCTTCCAGTGTTAGAACGAAACAAGTCTTACAACCTGAATATTCAAATATTTCCACCGTGAAAGTCACAGAGCCTATGCTACAGCCCACTGGGAATCCAAAAGGCAAAAGGAACTCTTCATGTTCGAGGATTTCTCCATTTGCCTCTACCTTCTCCCCACCCTCCAACACTCATATCCATTTCCCTTGATACAGACAAAGTCGGGGGAACCGGGGTTGGGGAGTGGGGGTCGTTGAAACACTCGGTGCCAGTCTGCCCGTCAACTGATGCTGCGTTTCCAGATCCCACACCCACCCTCTTGCTGCCATATTCAAGGCAGGACCTTGAAACACCAAGCCAGACCACGGGGGTGGGAAGTGCAATGCTCAGGATGTCTGACAAGTGGCTGTCATGAGATAAGCCACCTGGCCTTTGGAGGGGAGCTTCATCCTCAAAGCTGGGACAGAAATATCCCCCGACCTTTCCAACAGACACAAGGGCCGTTCAGAGAGAAAGAACAGAACTGCTGGGATGTCCTTCGGTGACATCCAGCCTGGTACACATCCACCCCATCTGCCCCATCCTCAGTCCAGATCCTGGGAGAGGGCGCCAGGAGGAGGGTGAAGAAGGTGGAGTTGGGGCAGGATGCTGCTGCGGGGGGACCAGAGCCCAGAGAGCAGCAGGAAAGGGAGAAAGGAGGGCTTTCCAGAAGACCTCTCCTGACTGCTCCCTCCCGGCAGCTGGAGCCTCAGAGATCTCACCCCCTTCCTTCCACACAGGCGCGCGCATACACACACACACACACACACACACACACACCCCGTGGCAGAGGGTCCGGCGCGCGCGCACACACACACACACACACACACACCCGTGGCAGAGGGTCCAGCACAGGCCTGCACTCGGCAGATACCTGAGGTCCAGCTGTGGCTGGGTTGCACGGTCAGCTAGAGTGGGGAAGAAGTGCTCCTAAAACTGGGGTATGTGGTCTTGGGGACACAGAAAGACACCGAATGACAACGCACAGCTTCTGGGAACATCAGCTTTAAGACTGGGGGGTGGTGTGTGTGAGGCGGAGGGGTGAAATATTTTTGGTGTTGGTTTATGACAGTGTCGTGGTTATTTTTATATTAAAACAAACACAACAACATGGATGAACCTTGAAGACGTTATGCTAGGGAAATAAGCCAGACACAAAAGGACAAACACTGTATGATTCCACCTACATGAGGCACCTAAAGCCGTCAAGTTCATGGGGACAGAAAGTAGAACGGTGGCTAGCAGGGGCTGGGGGAGCGGGGGCCTGGGAGTGAGTGTATAATGGGGACAGAGTTTTAGTTTTGCAGGAAGAAAAGTGTTCTGTGAATGGATGGTGGTGATGGTTGCACATTGTGAATGTACTTGATGCCACTGAACTCTACACTTAGAATGATTAAGATGGTCAATTTTGTGTGTATTTCACCAGAATAAAACAACAACAAAACACATTATGAAATAAAACAAAAACTTTGTTTTTTTTAAAACTCCAGAGACATATCTGCCTGTGGCTGCCACTTTGGAGTCTGTCCTAGACTCCAGGCTCTCTTATGTTCCTCTATTTTTTGAGCAGCTTCAGTGAGAAAATTTGAGAAACGTTGTCAGACTGCATTCTACAGAGGGGAAAAGGGGGGCCAAAAGAGATAATCCGGTGGGACAGAAATGGGTCTCCAGCACCCCTCTGTTGCAGAAGCTCTGGCCTCAGAGCTCCCTGGGCTGGAGCAGCCTCTCCCAGCTACTTGCCGTGTGAGTCTGAGAATGTTCCTCATCTTCTAGAAGCTTCCATTTCCTCACCTGTCAAATGAGGAGAACAGGCCCCGACTCACATGGTGAGGTGAGGACGACCTGAGGCAGTGCTTGTCGTGGGCTTAGCACAGTGTCTGGGGCACATTAATAGTAAACGCTCACAGCCACTGGTTTTATGGGGCAATGGGTTTTGGTTCCCCTGGGACTTTTTTTGGTTAAATGAGGGGTAAGTAGAAGTGTTAAGAACCACACTTATCCTTTACTCCTCCTGCATTCAGCATGGTGACATTGACTCAGGACAAACCCACACGTTCTCAAGATGTCACAAACGTGCCTTGGAAGGATCCTGTTTACATTCAGCCCTAACCACCTGTTTATAAATAGTGGGTCTCTTGAGCAGATAAGGCCAATTGACTTCAGGCTCCATACTTTCCAGCACAGCCTCATAAACAAGGGCAAAATTGGTTAATATTTGTTCTTACTTAAAACATGTTCCCACACACGTGCCCTGTTTACATCATCCTGCATGGAAATCCCCTCCTGTGGACCCTTAATTCACCCATTACTTCATTTATCCACCAGACAGTTATTGAGCAACTCCCAGGAGCCCCTGGGAAAGGACGGCAAATACACGCACCCAGCTCCCTCTTACCCCCAGGTGGCTTGTCCCAACACCTCGGGGAGCAGGACACCCACTTGACCGTCTGGGTGGTTGGGTGGCCAGCCGGGAGACACACCCCTGTGGTCTGTGTGAATTTGCCACGTTGGCTTCCCTCCTCTGGCTCAGAGGCAGCAGAGTGAACAGAACGTTTTCCTCTGCCAGTTTCCCGGTCCAGAGAGCCAGTCTGCAGACAAAGGTTGGCTCGCTCTGAGAATGACAAAGGAGTGTGTCTGGGAGGGAGGGGGGAGCCACAGGGATGTCAACCCTCAGGGAACCGGAGGGAAGAAGCAGGTCCTGGGGGGCTCCCCCCAGGCACAGGCAGAATCCTGGGGCAACACAGTCTGGGAGGAAGGGGCTTGGTGTGAGAAAACGCACTGGGGATGGGCAGAGAGGGGGTGAGTCAGGGAGGAGCTGCAGGAAACAGCTGGGTTGGCAGGGATCCCAATGGGGAGATGGGGCCAGACTTGTCCGCAGCCCCAGGGGCAGGGGCCCTCTGAGGGGGCGGCCGGCCTCGCCCACCAGAAGGCTGAAGCGCTGCCAGAAGGAAACTCGAGGCAGAGCCTTCCCAGCACCCAGTGCCGACGGGGAGCCCAGAGCCCCGCCCTCCAGCCCCACATCAGCCAGGCCTGGCAGAGCAAGGCAGCACCCCCCGCCTCCCCTCACAAAAATGTTTACCAGTGCATCTGACTAAAAAACAAAACAATCCATGCAACAAGGATCAAATTTGTGGCGTGCCTTGGTGAATCATATCTTTAATGACAAAAGTTGCATAATCGCTGGTAACAAGTCTATGACATCTGTGAGTTTATCTATAGCACAGGAGAGGAAAGGGGGAGTGCCAATCCTTGGCAGTTAGCAAGAGAGTCCCCCAGAGGCTGGCCTGCCGTTTGTGGACAGGGGTAGGGAGGAGACCTGGGTCTCAGTCTCTCCCCAGAGTGGGCAATTCTGGGGTCATTGCCATGGGCCTCTCTGACACAAAAGGGGCGCCCTGGCTTTGAGGGCAGTATCCTCCATAACAGGAGAGTCAAATGGGCTATGTCATCAATAGCACATTAACTCCCCAGGCAAGTTGGCTTCATGTGGGATTCTTTTTTTTAAAAAAAAAAAAGTATGTGTTTTTTCCTTTGTGGCAAGGAAGATTGGCCTTGAGCTAACATCTGTTGCCAATCTTCCTCTTTTATTTTTCCTCCCAAAGCCCCAGTACATAGTTGTATATCCTAGTCGTAAGTCCTTCTGGTTCTTCTATGTGTGACGCCACCACAGCATGGCTTGATGAGCGGTGTATAGGTCCACACTAGGGATCTGAATGGGTGGACCCTGGGCCACTGAAGCAGAGCTCACAAATTTAACCACTATGCCACCAGGCCAGCCCCGATGTGGGGTTCTGACAACGGGTGAAGGACCTCAACAAACACCCATGGAACTCACTTCTGAATGTCACTGAAGTAACCTGAGAGCCAGAATAGCCACATTAATAACACATGAAGTCTGGCCCAGCCCTGCCCTAGAGCAGAGGCATGAAAGAAATCAAAGTGAAGCCAGATACCTTCCTCCTGTCCTCTGTGTCTCCTGGGCCCCGCGCAGGTTACCCCGGACAGAAGAGCCCTTCCCCTTCCACTAGGATGTCACAGTCCTCACGCTTGATGAAGTTTCCAGACAAACTTGGTGGTCCTCTGGCTGGGTTATTCCAGAGAGGACCCCTGAACGGGGAGGGAAAGGGCCGGGGAAGCCCGGTCAGGAGTCTCAGAAACCAGGCTTCCCAAGCGGATTCCCACGACAGCAGGAGGCGGCACGGAAGTCGTTTTCAACATTTCAGAAAACCTGAAGTAAGCGTACGTTCACTACCTGGTCATGCAAGTTAAAACCCAGTCACCTCACTGGACAATTAAGTTTAATGCTATTTTATGGCATATGTAGGAAAATTGGATTAGTAAACAGAAAAATTATTACCTAACAAGCTATAGTTCTTGGTGGACAAAATCTTTGAAAATCGAGGTGCAGGATCAAGACCCCAAAACCTCTCCTCAGTTTCCCAGCAGGTATTCGAGGGACTACTACGCGCCCATCACCTTGCTGCCACGTCTGGAGGGCGTGCACCAGCCCAGAGGAGGAACTCACTTAAGTTCAGATATTTAAGTGTAAATAGAATTCTCTGGCTCCCAGGGTTGTTGCCACTTTAAAACCATCCTTGAACACATATCTTTGAGTTTAGCGGTTCTTGACTAGTTCTGCTAGCCAGGAAGACTAATCACAACCAGAATTTTACCTGCAGTCCACTTGAGGCACGCTATGGGTAAAAGGGTAATAAAATCCATTAATTTTTGCATGAGGAATTGCCCTTGGGTTACTACATAATCGAAACAACTTTAGAAAAAAAGAAAAGACAAACAGAGGCAGCAAGAGTATGTCACCCCTTCTCCCAAGAATTAACCCAACCAACCTGATTTCTGAGGCTCTTCCGTCTCTCTCCGTTAGAAGGGCCAGCCCACGGAAGAAGCATCTTAGTCAATCGTAAGACACTGCTGAAGGGCCCCTGCGGGAGGTCTGGGCATCCTCCTCCGTGGCTTCTACAAGTCATTTAAGGAAGGAGGTATATTCTCAGTAAACATGGAGACAGATTTGGTTTGCTAACTGGGTTTTCCTCTGGATAAGTCACTTTAATTTAAAAGCCAGTTATCCTTGGGTGTCCTCCACATACTTCTTCCTTCCTAATTTTTAGTCTATGTTCTCTGCCTTCTTGCCAACTTAGATTCTTCCCTTTTCCCAAACTTGGCGTCTGGAGAAAACTCCCATCTTAAGCCATCTTTTGTGGATCCCTCCTTCACTCTGCATTCCCATTCAAGCGTGGTAGTGAGTTAACGTTGTACCTGTTGTACTCAAGTATGCTTTCATTTCACTTTTAACCAGGTGCTGTTACTGGTGAGCAGGGTCTCGCCACACCACACTCACAGCACACAGGAGGGTCCCGGGAGAGAACTGTTGGGCTACAGACAGCCGTGGTCCTTACCTAGTGATGCAGGAAATCCAGCCTCATTACTGTTGCTTCTCAACCCTGCTCGAGGGCATTCTTCATTCTCACCAAGAGCACCATTGTCAGGGCCCCTAAAAATCCGAATCCTCGCCCAGCTGTTGAGGACAAATCATGATGCTTCTGTGGCAGACTCTAGTGACACTGCCCACAAGATTCATAAAAGCAAATGATGCCTCCAGTTCCCAAAGGAGGGGATGAACACCTTCCATTTCTTGATGCCCTTAGCCAATGTGGCCAGGAGTGCATCCATCTCTTAGGTGCTCCTTCTCAAGACAATGGCCAACTCTGGTTTTTCTGCCAAACTTATTTCTGATGAATAATTCACAACACTGTGTACGTGATTCACTCTTTAAAACAAAGGTGGTGTGGAGCTTGGGGATACGGTGATAGGACAATCTATGCTCTACCAGGAGTAAAAGTGACGTTGCTTTGTTCCATTCACGGGTCCTACATAATTTTTAAAAGATGATCTTTTAGCACATGAAATACCTGACTTGAACTACAACATATGTGTCCCGTAAGTTCTTGTCTTGACAGCCTTACACTGAGTTAGATATTTTCTAGAAAATATATTTTCAGAAACTAAGTATTCTTAGAATAGTTTTGAAACTTCTCATAACTAGATTTATTATCACACCCCCTATAATCCATACCACTTTCTTACGAGTGAAGAATAGAAATGAGGCATTTCTGTTCCTAAACTGTTTCCTGATAATTGCTGAACAGTTCTCACACATCAGTAACAAAGTTACACGTTATAATACTTTCATGTAAGAAAATGAGCACACAGCTGTATTCATGCGGTCTTTATTAACTTGACAAATATAGGAAAATCTGCAATCATCTATCAAAATTATATCTTACCAAGAATTTGAAAGGTATTTAAAAAAGATGTATTCACAGTCTGTCTGAATCATGTACAAAGCAATGTCTGCAGAAGCAAAAGCCAGAGAATGAACACGTGAGAGTAAATGCTGCTGCGGAAGCCGCGTCCCGGCCCCTCCAACCGCACAGTAAACAAGACAATCCTGCGCTCGCTCCTCTAGAGGGTCGACTTTGAAGCTGCCCTGTAGCAACAATTATTTATCCTAAAAGGAAAACTGCTTTCTGAGAAATCTTTCCTGCTACACAGACCAGGCTGAAGTGCTACCACCACATTGCAGGGTCCAGGGTGGATCGAGCTCCTTCCTCAGGGCGCTGTTAACACTGCCCAAGGTCCTGGGGAATGGCTTTGACATTCACGGGGGTCATTTCAGCACCAGGCTGATTTTTAACACATAAATCTGAGGTGTTTCCTACCAGAGTGGAGGACTGTTCAGATGATGCGGGACGTAAGTGTGATGCCAGCCTTGTTGGTACACTCGGCTCAGCAATTTCAGAGGGTTGTGGAGAGCTGAAACCATTGTTTTTAATTTCCTATGTAAAGGGAGGTGAAAAGATCACAAAGATCACTTCTGGGCTCAAAATTATGATGGTGATATTGTTTCACCCCAGGACAAAACCAAATGTCCAGTTTTCAAGTCTCTTTCCAAACTCAGTGTCCAGGACGCCCTTCGTGGTGAGGAGAAGGGCGGGTCAGGCTGTGCTTGATAGACCCTCCAAAGCAAATTTAGAGAAAAAGGAGTACTCTACCGAAAGGACTGGCTTCTGGAAGAATCAAGTCACCTTTACAACTTCAAAATTAGAAGCCCTCAATAACGGTAACCGTGAAAAGGGGTTATTGACAAGTACCCAGTATTTTAGAGAAGTTCAAGATGGCATATACTAGAAAACAAGAGACGACAGCCGCATTCTGAGGACATATCTTACTCATCTTCGTATCTTTAGACTCTAGCACCATGCCAGGAACACAGAAGACATTGAACAGATCTTTTCGTAGTGGTTTCTGAGCTTTCTTCCAGGGTTGGAGCATGAATAGTTGAACACGCGAGGCCGGGCACTGGGGGTCAGGACCGGAGGCTCCCTTGAGAAGTCTGACCCTGGAAGACCCTACGTAGTAGCTTAACCTCTGTCTCACATCCTACAAGTTAGGATCAAGACCACATACACAGTTTTTTGAGGCCCAGTAAAGGACAAGTACTAAATATATTATTTGTTTGGGCATCTGTTGTGGGAGAGGATTTTTCAAACCAATGGACACCTTAAAAATGGAGATCCAGGAGTTTAAAAGTAAAAACACTACTTCTTTAGTTGTTGCTTCTGTACTGAAATAAACTGCTCATTTACGATTTTCTTCCAAGTTGCTTAGAAAGCTTCTATTTTTTCTGATAAAAAATTTAGTCATTTATAGCGAGAGCTGTGATCCTAGGACCACACATGAAGGCAGTGAGAGCCAAAAACAGGAAAGCAAGCCCTTCCTCTTTGAAAAAAATCCTCAAATCTTCCAAATATGGTTGGGATTTCCCCAGGCTGGTTGACAGCAACATCCTGTACCTCAACTCTCTTTATCCTGCAGGCCAGTCAGAGCCGGACGTCAGCGGTCACCCTTGTGCCTCCTGTCCTCCTCCTCTTCTCTAAGCAGGCGGCAGTGCTGGTCATGCTGTACCGCTTCGCTCCACAGCCACCCCTCGCCCTGAGTGAGGGTACACCCTCAGTGGAACGGCTTCTGTTTTCTCTGGTGGCACTCTGTTTTTCATGGTGGAAGACTAGCATTTTGATATTTCAGAAACAACTGAATGGACTCTAAGAAAGTACAAAGAAAAAGTTCTGTGTGTGAGACTGGCGATTTAAAGAAAGACGGTGTGGTCTCTCTACACTGGGATGTAGTTCCATGTTGTAGAAAGTGACGTTTATCGCAATCTTTCTACGTAGGACAATAATACATAGGGTGGATTTAAACACACGCGCACACACACCACATCTCTTCTGAGATGAACCTTTCACGAGAGATACAGCACACGGGGCACCCTCGCACAAACAAGCTACTCCAGACGGGGCTCCCACAGGCCTGCCTCAAACCACAAACTGGGGTTCAAGTGGCTTTAAGATGCATGTCTTTCTAGAAGATAATACCCACGCAGCCACATATCTGAGGAGAAAAAGAGAGAATCTTGGGAAAAGAGGGCTAAATGAAAAGAAACAGAGCTGAGAGGACCTGGTGCTGCAAGCCCCGCTCTTGCTTTGCAGAGCTCTTATTTTCCTGCAGCTCTCCACTGCCTAAGACGAGCCGCTTTTTACTTATACTCAGGTTAGTACCACTACTTCTAAAGTTAGTTTCTTACAAGAAATATTCCATGACAGGAAAAAAATATTCTAAACCCCAGGGAAAACCCCAAACCAGACCATATGGCTGGAGAGAAAGCAGCAGGAAAAAGAGGAAAGGCTGGCCTCTCTTCGGCCCCAGGGGAAACTAAGTTTCTCACAAATGCTACAGTCTCATCACCGTGGCGAAGGGCCGTCTGTGGAGAAAGAAGGCTTGTGCCCTGGCAAAGCCCCATTCAGAGGTGCCACGTGCCCACAGGCTGACGGCTGTATGTGCATCGTCCAACTGAAGTGCACAGGGCCTGAACGCCACCGCCCCACTCTCACAAAGGTGCACTGAAATGGAAGGCAATGCGGAAGGGAAACCACAAAACACCCATTGTGAGGTTCTTGAGGAAGAACGCGGATGTCCTCAACATCTGCCCACGGAACATCAGCTCATCTGGTCCCCTTGGCTGTGGGAGGCCCCTTCTTTCTTCTCTTGGCAGCTGGTTCTCCTGACCCTCGGTTCTCCCACAGCTCACCAAGTGAAATAACGGTGAGCTCGCTTTGTACTGATACAACTGATTCAAGAACTTTATAAGCTACCAGCTTTGGGGTATTGGATTAAATTCTGACCTATTGTCAGAGACAATGGGTTGTAGTAAAAAAAAAAAAGAAAAACCAGGACAGAAAGTGCTTCACCAGCCGTTTTACTCTTCTTTAATTCTACTGTCTTTGGGCACACGTTGTATTTGCTATTGAGAAATTACAACAGCAAGGCTGACAGCACTGATTCATAACACATTCTTTGCACCACACAGAGTAAACCTTAGGATAACCGGACCATCTGCTACAACAGAGCTGTCTTATTTGCTGGATAAAAGAACTGCTCATGGCGGGAGTGAAGGGAGAGATGGGGAACAAAGGAGTTATCTGGGGACAAGCAAACCTACAAGTATGTCTGAAAATTAAGAATTTTGTGGAAAATCCAAAATTTACCTAAGGGTGATAGGGAATTGTTGAGTTATAGTTCCATTATTTCCAGAAATTACTGAATTTGGAACCTGAGGTTAAGACTTTTAGGATAAAGCAACCTCAAATAGGGTCAGACTGGCCTTGGGAAGAAATGGCAACCACAGATGGTAATGAGTTTCAGTGCTTGAGAACGAAAATTGTCAAAATCAACCTACACATCTGACTTGACTCAAGATGAAAAAAGGTCTTATTTAAAAAGGGTAAGTCTGCAGCAAAGAAAAGTCTGAAAGTGCAAGTTTGAGCCCCTTTCCACCTTTCCCTTTTGCTGCTGGCGCCTGTTCTCCTTACAGTGCCCCTGAAAAGGCTCAGAATTCAATACAGAGTTATTAGGTTGATTTTCAACACGGAGTTTAAGATGAAGAGTTCTGTTTGGTTCGAACCACTTCACTTAACCTCTTGGTAATGGTAGTCCTGAGATCTGCAGTGTTGGTAAAAATCCACCTGTGACCAAGGGCCAAACTGTGGGAACACGACAACTTCTTGGCCCAACGCTCTTCCTTGTCCCTCAAATGTGGTAGCTTTTGCACTGAGGGACTCAGTACACCTCAGTGACGTATGTTCAAAACCTTTTTCTGTAGATACCTCCTCCCGATGCCCAATAGCGCAGGTGGTCAGGAAGACTCGGAAGGAAGCTGCAAAGAGTCCAGCCGGGAATCTTGACTTCGTTAGATGTGGACTCAGGAAAATCACCTTTGTCCTCCCTAGATTTTATTATAGTCAAAGGAGAAAAATCCATGGGATTCTAATTGCAAAGATGCTAGACATAAAACTGATGGAATGCTAATTGGTCCATAAAAGGCTGCACAAGATAATCTGTGGCAAAGTAGAAAACAAGCCCAAAGGTGATAGAAATTGGAAGAGCTGGCAATGCTTTCTTGAAAATGGCGAGGAGTAATAATGTAAGGCACAAACCCTGTGGAAAAGAGGGGAAAAGACACAAACTCAGACATAATTATGAAAGTATTTTCTGTAAAACAACTCAATTGCAAGTCTTGGTTCTAATTTAGTTAATTGAATACTACCCTTTGAGGTTAAATTTTAGAGCAGATGTTTTCATTAAATTTGGAAACATTTATTTTCCTTTGGAACACAGAATTCATTATGCACACATTGTTGATATTTCATCCCCTAACTCTAGGTAAGGAATAGAATCTGAAAATAAGTAAAATGATTTTTGAAAAAAATTAAATAATACTGGAGTGTCTACTGTGAGTTTAGTTTAGCTGGCTAAAACCCCAGAGGTGAAGAGCATTCTTCATGCTGTGTGGGGGCAAAGAGATGCTCATAGAATAAATCAATAAAAGTTTGTTTACAAAGAATATATTGCATTCTTGTAAAAACAGAGCAGCCACATAATACAGTCCATTTCTACCCAGTTACTGAGACGCTAACCATGAAGTCTGGAGGCTGAGCATCATTTCAGGTTTATCCAAAATAAGTAACTTTCTTCTCTTAAAACACATGACATACCCAGAAAACTAACTTTAAAAGAGAAATAAAATACATGATAACTCTAACTGGTTATATTATCCTGATAAATCACAAACGTAATCACAAAATAAATGCATAAGTCTCTCATCTAACTTCACTCACATGTATCAAAGACATCACCCCTTTAGTAAAAATAGCAATAAGAAATATCTTACAAGGTATTTACTTAAATCATAGTTCTGAATGCTTCAGGGGTCACGTGGTGGCACTATAAGCAAAGTCTACATGGGATCATGCATTGTGTTAGCTTTTCTTGCCCCACATTTGCTGCCCAAAGGAACACTGTATGCTGGAGATTCGGGCATTAAATGCAAATTTAAATGCAAACCAAACTTGGGGACTGAGCAAGGATCTGCTGACTCGTTTAAGACGGATCTAGCACAGTTAATTTCCTACATATCAATGCCACTGGGCTTGGAGCAGTGGTTTCTGATCAGAGGTACTTAGAATTTCCTGGGGAACTCTGACAAAAACACAATTAAAACAAATTAAATAAGAACATTTCAGGGTGGGGATGCACAGGTTTTTTTGAGGAAGATTAGCCCTGAGCTAACATCTGTGCCCATCTTCCTCTACTTTATACGTGGGACACCTGCCACAGCATGGCTTGACAATCGGTGCCATGTCCGCAGCTGGATCCGAACAGGCGAACCCCGGGCCGCCAAAGTGGAATGTGTGCACTTAACTGCTGTGCCACCGGGCCGGCCCGGGACGCACAGTTTTAAAGCTCTTAGGTGACTTTACTGTGTGACCAGGTGGAGAACTACTCAGTAGAGGTCCATTTGTGTTTTCAAAAGCTCCCAGGTGATGGAGCACTCAGCCCAGCTGGGTTAAAATGGGATCGCGTCAGCAGAGTTTGGAGATGAGCAGTTCTGACATGTTTTATGCGAATATACTTACAATCAATATGGCTACAAAGCAGGCTATGGTTGTGTTCCAGTCCCCACTGGCTGTTGCGGAAGCCTTGCCAACTAGCACGCTGTAGAAAATGAAGTCTCCTAACCCAAGCTTTACTCCCCCTGAAAAAGGGAAAGATCACGAATACAAAAGTTTGTCACTCTCTGCAACGATTTCACAGTTCAAAATGTCACTGCCTCACTCCATCCTGCACTGAATGAGAAGTCAACAAAAGATAATCATAGGAAATTAGGCTTTAGCTGGGTTTTCCGTTTCCTTTTTGGTTTCTATGAGTTTCAGATTCTATGTGGCTGAGCCTAGGGTCTTAACAGCAGATGCTGCTGTTACATATCAAAAATAATAACAATTGTCATCTACTAAATGTCTAAGTTTATACCTAGCACTTGTTCTAATAAATCTTCACAAGATCCCCTAGGAGATAGATCCTCTTTTTTTGTTTAAAAAAAACCAAACAGCTTTATTGAGGTAAAATTTATTTCATAAAATTCACCCATTGTAAGTGTACAATTAAATGACTAAAAAATTTATAGAGCTGTGCAATCCCCATGACAATCCACCATACTTCCACCACCCCAGAAAAGATACCTTGTGCCCATTTACAGTTAATCCCCACTCCCACCCCGGCCTCAAGCAACAATTCACCTGCTTTCTATCTCTAAAAATTTGCTTTTTCTAGACATTTCACAAAAACGGACTCATACAATAGGAAATATTTTGTGACTGACTTCTTTCACTTAACATACTATTTTTGAAGTTTATCCATGACATTGCATGTATCTGTAGTTTGTTCCTTTTTATTGATGAATAGTTTTCCAGTGTATGGATATATTGTGTTTGTCCATTCATCAGTTGATGGACATACGGACTCTCAGTTTTTGGTTATATTCAGTTATATGAATAATGCTACTACCATCATTAGTGTACACAGATTGTTTTCATTTCCATTGAGTAGATTCCTAGAAGTAGAACTGCTTGGTTACATGGTAAGTTTATGTTTAGCTTTTTAAGAAACTGCCAAATTGTTTTCCATAGTGGCTATACCAGTTTACATTCCCACCAGCAATGCATGAGGGTTCCGGTTTCTTCACATCCTCACCAATACTTGGTATTTCTAGTCTTTTTGATTACAGCCCTTCTGATTAATACTGAGTATCTTTTCACGTGCTTATTAGCCATTACATTTCTTCTTTGGTGAAACGTCTATCCAAACCATTTTCCTATTTTTAAATTGGGTTTATCTTCCTGTTATTGAGTTGTAAGCATTCTTTATATATCCTAAATACAAGTTCTTTAACAGACTTGCAACATGATTTGCAAATATTTTCTCTCAGTCTGGGGCTTCTTTTCCTTGTTTCAATGATAAAGAAAATTTTCAGTGCGGTAAAATACACAGTTCAATGGGATTAAGTACACTGACACTGTTGTGCTAGCATCACCATCATCAAACCACAGGACTCATTTCATCTTGTAAAGCCGAAACTCCGTATCCATTAAACAATGACTCCTCCTTCCTCTCTCTCTCCAGCCCCTGGCAACTACCATTTTACTTTCTGTCTCTGAGTTTGACTACACTCGGTAGTTCATAGAAATGGAATCATACACTATTTGTTTTTTTGTGTCTGGTTTCTTTCACTTAGCATAATGTTCTCAAGGCTCATCCATGTTGTAGCATGTAACAGAATTTCCTTACTTTTTAAGGCTGAATAATATTCCATCATATGTATGTACCACATTTTGTTTATACATTCATCTGTCAATAAACACTTGCGTTGCTTCCACCTCATGGCTATTGTGAATAATGTCGCTATGAACAAGGGTATACAAATCTCTCTTCTCTTAATGGTATCTTTTGAAGTGCAAAAGTTTAAAAATTCTTTTTCTCATGAGGAAGATTGACCCTGAACTAACATCTGTTGCCAATCTTCCTCTTTTTGCTTGAGGAAGACTGCTGCTGAACTAACACTGTGCCAATCTTCCTCTATTTTATGTGGGGTGCTGCCACAGCGTGGCTTGACGAGTGGTGCTGGTCCATGCCCAGGATCTGAACCTGCGAACCCTGGGCTGCTGAAGTGGGAGTGAGTGAACTTAACCACTATCCCACTGGGCCAGCCCCCAAAAAGTTTTAAATTTTGACAAAGTCCAATCCATCAATTTCTTCTTCTATTTGTCAGTGTTGTACTGAAGAACTCCTTGCCCAACTCAAGGTCATGAAGTTTTTCTCCTATGTTTTTTTCTAGAAGTTTTATAGTTTTACCACTTACATTTCAGTTTATGATCCCTGCTGAGTTAATTTTTGATTGTGTGCATGATGGACAGGGTGAGCCAGGCGTTTCTGTTCATTCTTTTGCATGTGAATATCCAGTTGTCCCAGCACCATTTGTTGAAAAGATTACATCCTTTTCCCATTGAATTATGTGTTTCAGCACCTTTGTAAAAAATCACTGACCATAAATGTACGGGTTTACTTCTGGACTTTCAATTCTGTTCCATTGATTTATATGCCTTTCCCTTTTCCTGTCTTCATGACTATGGTTTTAGAGTAAGTTTTGAAAACAGATAATCTAAGTCCACCAATTTTTTTCTTCTCTTTCAAAATTGTTTTGGGTACTCTAAGTTCTTTTCATTTCCAAATAAATTTTAGGATCAACTTGTAGAAACTGGCAAGCTGATCCTAAAATTTACACAGAAATGCAAGGGCCCTAGATTTTCTGTTGTCAAACAGTATTTTTAACCTTACAAGTTCCTTAAAAAATGATAAACAATCAAGCAAAGACTGAACCAGGGATTCAAAAGATATGCTTTGACTTGGGGTCCAATATTAATCCATAAAGCTTTACAATTGGCTTTCATCCTTCTGGTTGTTAAGTAACTATTCCCAACTGAAATTTGATCCTGGTATTGAAAGTTTTGTTGCTTGAGTTAGAGAAACCACCTCCAAGAGACCGACCCTGAGAAGTACAGTCTGCTCCACATGTGGGAGAGAAAGAAACAGAGTGCTGGTTAAGATCACCTTTCTGAGAAATCAGGGTTCTTCCTAAATCATGAAAGCCAGAGTGAAGTCTTCCTTAGTGGAAAAAATAAACACAGGACCTAAGAAACTGGACACTATGAACTACAGGGTTAGTGACCCTGTAACTTGCTAACCTTCCCAGACTGATGAATACTCACCAGCTTCAGGTGTGCAGAAGAGCCCAGCTCTACTATTTAAGTACCTGTGTGATTCAGGACAAGCTTCTCTAATCCTCAAACTCCTCAGCTATAATATGGGGATTACAGAACTATTTCATAGGGTTGTTATCAGAGTGAAAAACAATACAGGAAAAGTTCACGGCCCATACAGAGCCTAAACAAATGAGAGCCTTAGAAAGACTTCCGATTGCAAACACTGAGTGCTATGAGAAACTAAGAGAAACTAAGTTCTTTAGGGAAAAAAAAGCTATAGAAATGAATTTTTAAAAATAATGCAGGAGGGGCCGGCCCGGTGGTGCAGTGGTTAAGTGCACATGTTCCACTTCAGCAGCCCGGGGTTTGCCGGTTCAGATCCCGGGTGCGGATGTGGCACCGCTTGTCAAGCTATGCTGTGGTAGGTGTGCCACATATAAAGTAGAGGAAGATGGGCATGGATCTTAGCTCAGGGCCAGTCTTCCTCAGCAAAAAGAGGAAGGTTGGCGGCAGATGTTAACTCAGGGCTAATCTTCCTCAAAATAAATAAATAAATAAATAATGCAGGAGAAAAATTTTGCATTTATCTGATAAGTGACCTGTATCTAGAATATATAAAGAACTTTTACAACTCAATAATAAAAAAATGAAAAAAAATGGGCAAAGGATCTGAATAGACAGTTCTCCAAAGAAAACATACAAATGGCCAAAAAACATACAAAAAGATACTCAACACCATTAGCCATCAGGGAAATACAAATCAAAACCATAATGAGATAGCACTTCATATCGAGAATGATTATACTCAAAAAGACAGATAATAACAAGCACTGGTGAGGATGTGGAAAAACTGGAATATTCATACACTGCTGGTGGGATTGTAAAATAGTATGGTTGCTTTGGAAAACAGTCTGGCAATTTCTCAAAAGGTTAAACACAGAGTTACTGTAAGACCCAGCAATTCCACTCCCATGAATATACCCAAGAGAAATAAAAATATATGTCCACACAAAGTCGTGTACTTGAATGTTCATAGCAACATTATGCACAACAGTCCCAAATGGAAACAATTCAGATGTCCATTAACTGATGAATAGATAATAAATGTGGCATACCCATACAAAGGTACATTTTTTGGCTATAAAAAGAAGTGAAGCACTGATATATGCTACAACACAGACGAACCTGGGAAACACTACGCTAAGCAAAAGAAACAAAGGACCATATATTGCATGATTCCATTTATACGAAATGTCCAGAACAGGCAAATCTACTAAGATAGTATACTAGTTAGTGTTGGGAAGCGTGAGGCTAATGGGAATGGGCTTTGATCTTGAGGTGATGAAAATGTTCCAGACTTTGCTCGTGGTGATGGTTGCACACGTCTGTGAATACAGTACAAACCAGTGCACTGCACACTTTCAACAGGCGGGGAGGGAGGGGTCGCGAGGGGCCGCTAAGGAGCGTGGGGTTTCTTTCAGGGGTAACGAAAACATTCTAAAATTAATTGTGGTGACAACTGAATAATTCTACGAATATACTAAAGCCACCAATTTAAATGGGTGAATTGTATAGTATGTGAATTATATCTCAATAAATCTATCAAAAAATAAACAAAAATAATGTATTGAATTAATCTTAAAATTCTGACCACATTTTTTTCATTTAAAGGCTTACATTTGTTTAAATAATAGCAATACTATGGCAAATACTATAGTTATACTTCACAGAATTCATTTTAACAGAGAGATGCAGATTTTATTAGCAAAATTAAAATAAAGAAACAAAGAAGTAACCATCACTGTTTTTCTATAGGTACTTACTGAAGTGACAAATTTTATTTACCTATAACCAGAAGAGACTGACTCAGTATACAGAACCTAAGAAAAATCATATTGCTCGGGAATTTGTTTTCTTTAAACAGCTCCTTTTGATTCACTCAGTCAAAATATGCCATAGCCAAACAACTAAAATCACGCAATGGAAACTGCTGAAGTCAGACACAAGGAATTAATAGGATTCCACTGCCAAGTGCTAACGCTGACATCGGCTGCTCGGATTTTCCTGCTATTTGCTAATGGGAGTCTAGGCCTTCTATTGTTTTGTTTTTGCCAACTCTGAAAAGTAATTTTAGGTAATTATGGTGTTCCTTTAATATTAAAAGGGGCATTTGCTGGTAAAGACAATGAATGATTGTGAATATTTACTTTAATTGTAAGACTTCTCTAAATGACCTCTAGCAGCATATGCGCCTAACTTCAATATAATAACATCACACAGTAATGAATATTTCCTATTATGTTTTCTTTAAGAAAGGCAGACTGCCACATGCGGCGCCACATTTGGATGAGTCTGGGAAGCCTGACTACCCTATGTTCTCCTCCAAATGGACCTTGCGAGCTTGTCTGGAGGTTCTGGCACAGAAGCACAGCTACTCCTATACCCTTGACCGAAGAATGGTCCTCCTCTATCAGTGCAGGTCGTCTTCTCTGACTAACCGTGCAGCTTCAGGAGGGACACATCTGGAGCAGTGAGGGAGGAAGGGGACGCCCACCCAGCCAGCCAGATCAGCTGAATCCTTGGCGATCAACGGGGTGCCACATGTCGCAGCCAGATTGCCCTCACATCCCCTGTTATCTTAGTAAATATAAACATACTAAAAACTGCCTGAAATTTATTAATTTACCTTTTTACTACTAAAATCTCTTCCCCCACTTGAAGAAAATAGCAAAATCCATCTCCCTCTCTTTCCTTGAGGTTATAGAAAAGAATCTCTATGTGTCAAATTTCCACTCCTGGAAACAACAGGTTAATTTCACTACTCTGATCAATTTTAAGTCTATCAATAGTACACTTGGGATGAGCCTGTTACCGGCATGTTTGATGGAAGTATATTTTGAAATTTGCTGGAAGACCACTTGCCTTCACATTGAATAAAAACATTTTACATTTCTAACTAAAAACTCTGCTCAGTTTTCTGACTCAATGTTGACTTTTAAAAGGTTGTTTTGGAAGACGTATGTGCCTTTCAGAAATCAAATTCTAATGTGAACCGAGACTTTTTCCTAAGTAACCATAAGTCCAGTTTAAAACACTAAAATCAGAGATGGTTATGTGTGTGCTGGATGCTAAGATAAGGAAAGAACGTCAATTATTAGTTCCTATGGGCCTCAGATAAAGAAAATATTAATCTGACGTTAGGAGGGGCAATACTTGGGTTTTCTTTAAAAAAAAAAAAAAAAAGAGATGAAGAGATGATCGGGAGACAGAATCTTCAAGTTGAAAAGGCAGCCATGAAAGAATCATTCGCTGCTGTGTTCAACAGCTGTATTACTTCTTTCTTTTGGCTCTAGGCATCTTTGAGAAAAGAGGAGAGGAGCAGAAGAGGCAACCTAATTACGGTGGTAACTGCAGGCAGAGAAAATCCAGCACAGGCGAGCTCGAGCCTGGCTGTAAGACAAGGCGATTACTCCTAGTGTCCCAAGAGTGTGAAAGTCGCAGGCTGCCGCGGGCTCTAACACCTGCAAAACTCAGCCAAGTACCAAAGACGTGGATATGCCTAGGTTCTGACCAGTTCAAAGGTTAGGGGTGAGCTCTAAGAACTCTTCTGCTCAAGCTGAAGGATAATGTCAAGGTCATAATAATCAGATCAGTGATTAAAGCAGCTAAAAAATCTAGGCGTTTGCTTCTTTAAAACGAAATATTTTTGCTATAATGTTTTAATCAAGTTTCACTTTTGTGAAAATGAAAAAACTAATAACTTAGTTGGAAAATGTGCCAATCTCTTATTCAATAAATCACATCTCTAACCAAGACTAATTGTAGAGATGACTGAGTCCTAACCAAGGGGCTCTCAGGGCTGATAATGTTCCCAAAAAGCCCTAAGTGCTAATAACCAAAGTCTATCTAAATAACAACATATCTGAGACATTGAACACACTCCTGCATATCTGCCCATCACATAAATCCCTCTGATTTTCTTTAAAAGCAATAAAATATAGTGCTTGTCAACAAAGGGAATAACGATGAAAAAGGCTGAAACATTCAAATCCACAGGTCTCTGCACAGCAAAGAGGGAAATATATTGATGAATTCTTTGTACACAAATATATTGCAGCCATGAAGTCTTACTGCAATAATAATTTCAAAAAAACCTTTTACCTTAATAAAACAAATGCCAAAGCTCAGGCTGTAAAGGACCAATTTCAAAAATCTGAGGGGCAGAATTTGGCCCATTAACAAATTTAACTATGAGAAAAGCACCAACTATTAATATTTCCCACTCAAAGCTGTACTGTCATTTAGAATTAGACTGTAACACTAGAGTGGAGAGTTTGAGAATGGAGCACCTAAAGGAATCCATGACTTTTCAACACAGAAATGCACATACTTTCCTCTGGGTCCTCACTGGCTAGGATGCTGCTGGAAAGTTCCTGTACAGCAGCGCGTGACTCAGTTGTAGAGCGATGAGGTCCTAGGCGACTGTCCCTCTGGGCTTCCCACTCTTCACTGAAGCCGCCATCATCACTCTCTGTCACAGGGTCTTGTGACTCACTTTCTGTGCCTTCAAGACAAAGTGAAAATTACAGCTCTAATATTTAGAAAAATTTCTTAATACCTTTAAGAAAACTACATTGAAACAGTAGCTACCCAACTATCATTATAACTAGTTAGCTGGCTCAAATCACCAATCACGGGCTGTAGCAGTGCCTGCTGGTTGTTTGCTCAAGAGTCCTTTCTGGAGGTCAGAGTCCCCATTTGTCTGGGTTTCCACTCCCAGCCCACGTGACTCTGGTGGTAAATTCTGATCAATCCGAGCCAAGCATGGTAATCCCAGCTTTCCTCTTCTCACTGAAAGCTCTAAAGCTGTGGGGCTGGTATTGACCAATGCATGGTGAGGAAGTCTGCGGGGAATTTTGGGGAAATTTTTCTCACTCTTTACGAGAGACTCAAGTAAGAAACAATCAGCCCCTTTCTTCCCCTGCATGTTGTCTTATCTGGGTATGATGCCTGGAACTCCAGTTGTCATCTTATGACCATGAGGAGCAGTGGGCTGAGGATCAAGCCTATATCCAAAGATGGCAGAGCAGAAAGAGGGAATAGAACCTGGGCCCTTGATAACATCAACAAGCCACAAAAATTAACCAACTACAAATCCCCACACCTCATGACTTCTGGTCACATGAGAGAACATATTGCTTCCTTGTTTAAAGCACCTGAATTGGGTTTCTGATCTTTGCAGCCGAAAGCTTCCTAACTGACGGCACTCACCACCGGCTTTAGTGATTAAGTTAGAAAGCAGACCATTACTGGGGGAGGGGGAGGGGTGGGAAAGTGGGGAGGGAGTTTTTGGTGGGGTAGCCATTTCACTATCATGACTGTCAGCCTGACTGAAAATTGTGAGCATGACAGTCTTGAGAACCTTCCATACTTCAATAATTAAAATACACGAGTGAAGTTGCTAATACTTTTTTTTCTCCTTTATTTTTTATAAAAGTAACACAAGTTCATAGCAGAGGTACATTTACTGTGAATAAATAAAGCTTGCACACTTCAGGCCTCTCACTTGCATGGACTGGGAGGAGCCCTAGCAATTTTGCATTTCTAATTTGTATTCTTTTTCTTAACCAGGTCTCCACAAAACCTGAATCTTCCCTGGTTTGGAGTTCATAAAATCATATAAGCATAACATTTATAAATAAGAACAGCAGTCCCTGCTCTGTCCCATCCCTTCTCACTCCTAATCCTCAACTCCTACTTTCAAACGTTCCAGCTATTTCTTTCGGTATTTACTTCCTTAATTAATTATAAATAGTATGCTCACAGTGCTATATCTTGATGTTTTTATTTTAGGCACTTAGTCACTTCTTATAGAGAAGATAAAGCACTAGTTCCGTCGCGCTTATGTACACATATAAATTTAACTCTCCCCATATTCTCCATGTCATAATTTTATGTTCAGTTTTTAAATGATCACTATGCATATAGTATCCACAACTAAACTACTGTGCCACAGCCAGAATATAATTACATTTGCATCTTTTATACAATTTTTTGTTTTCCCTGAAAAATTGCCTCCTTTTTTCCCTTAACAAATTTTCTGTTTTCCCTGTGACTAATTCATCTGCAAACTCTCTGTCAGAGTTCAAACACTCAGACGATCTCTCAGTTCTTCATTTTCTTCCTTGTACGGACATCCCTTTTGGAGTCCTATGTCCTTCTGTTCCAATCTAATTTCTAGGTCTTCTAACACAGTGGTTTTCAACTGAGGGTAGCATCTCCTCTGCAGGAGGTGTTTGGAAATAACTAGGACGGAGGAGTTATTGGCTATTGCAGTGCCTGGAAGCCACTAGCAGCATTCAGTGGATGAGGCAGCAGGAATGCTAAATGTCCTGCAGTGTGAGGGGAAGCCCCACCCAGAACACCACCAGCACCCCCAGGACCTCCGCAGTTCCTCCAGCTCCTTCTCACTTCAAGGCCCTCGCCCATGTGGTTTCCTCTTCTGGAAAACTCTTCTTCCACTCTTTGGTCAGCCATCTCCTATTAACACTTCCTTGACTTTCCAGAATAAATGAAATTCCTCCACTATAAACTTTCATAGGAACTTATACTTCTCCTTCGTAGTGCTTATCGCAACTGTATGATTATCTGTGGAATTATCTGTTGAACATTTTTGTCTCTCCAAATAGGTGACAAGCTCCACAGGGATAGGACATCTTGTTCAGTGTTAAGCCCCAGTGCCTAGCAAAACACCAGGCACAGAGGTCCTCAATCAACATTTGTCAAAGGGATAAAATCCTGATGTACCAAAAACACACTCATACTCACAAAATATACACATACACTCATAGACAACTAATCTTTTAATTTTCTTTAGCTTAACAGACTAACACAATAACCAGACTTGTAGCAATCGTTTCCAGGACATTTCCTACTTCTCTCGTAGGCCTACTAACAGCCTAAGGCCACCTTGTTCTGCTGCCTTGCTCACTGCAGAATGGGCCTGATGTCCTTGAGTCCCAGCGGTGAACTCCCAGTTGAAAGTGTCCTCTTCACATTACCCAAATGCTAAACCAGCAGTTCTCTTGGCTCTATAAAACCTAAACTCTCCCTTTCCTCACAAAAAGCCACTTAATTAAGGCCTTTTTCTCTTCTCTCATCAACCTTTATTCTGCCTGTTTTTTAGCTTCCTCATACGGTTAGCCCTTTGCTTTTCTTTAAAAAAAAAAAAAAAAGTTTCCTTTCTTCTTGACTATATATAGAGTTGTTATTTCTCACTTTCTTTTTTTTAATTCTATTTTAATCTAACACACTCCCCCCATGTGCGCCCACACACATTTTATGACATTTTATTTTTTATTTTATTTTCTATTGAGGTAACATCAGTTTATAACATTATATAAATAAATTTCAGGTGTACAACATATTTCCATTTCTGTGTAGACTACATCATGTGCACCACCCAAAGACCAATCATCATCTGTCACTATACATGTGTGCCCTACCACCCCTTTCGTCCTCCTCCGTTCCCCCTTCCACTCTGGTAACCACCAATCTAATCTCTGTATCTGTGTGTTCATTTTTTGTTGTTGTTCCTCAACTTTCTAATAACAACTCCTAACTTATGTTCTCCTTAACGTGTTCTGTAGTGTTCACAAGGCCTTTCGATCTCCCACTCTAGTCATCATTATTCTTCTCCTCCACAAAGTCATGTCCACCTGGAATATTTTATCTTCTCCGTATAAACATTATTATATCTCAAATCAAATTATATTTCAGTTATTCCAGCTACGTCAGACAAGAGGTTCTCATTTTTACATATTTGGAGAGCAAGCTTTTTTCCTTTTTTAAATCATAGCCTCAATATGACTCGTTCCACGCTGGTTTTAATGGTATTTAACGGCAGAAATTCTTAACTGAGGGTGCCTTGGCTGCACTGTTGGGTTTAGAGCATCTGAACTCCTTAAATATTTACCTGTATTTACTGGGTATTAACGCTGCTTTCAAGAGAATCTCAAAAAAGTCCATGACCAAAAAGAGGTTAAAACCATTGCTTTATAACTCATTGTTAGCCTATAAGATGACAAAGACCCCAAAAAACCAGGAAATAACCAAATAGTCACCTACTTTGTGCATTATAATTGGAGTTTTTGGATACCTTCCTTTGGGCCTCTGGGTCTCCTTCTGCCATATTCACCAACCACACCATGGTTGCTGTTGAGAAAGACAAAAGTCCAGGTAAGCACTCGAAACACAGAAGGGAAGTCCACAAATAGACAGCAGGCCAGTATTTCTCTACACAAATCACCAATCTTCTTAACGTTGCCTTAAGAATCCTTAACAATCAGAAGTAAATGCAAATTAAAAATCACAAAAGATTCTCTTTGATTTTGGCAGTTAAAGAAAAAATTCTGAAGCTGAATGTTTACTGTGGCTTCCAAACTGCAGCTGCTACTATAAAACTCTTCCTCATCATTATCAGTCCCTGCAGAGTAACCAGAGGGAAAACTGTTCAGGCCAGCAAGATTCCACTGAAACAATAGCTGGACTAGTTGAATATCCTAAAATAGTGTGAATTCACTGATGAAAATTACTTATTGGAACTAAATTAGTGGACATACTGGGGCTCATAAAAGGATCAGATGATTATAATTTTAAAGATGCGTGGAATATGTTTCCTTCACATTATGCCTTGCTTCTGGGATTTTCAATAATGTTAAACTCTGTTACACACAAGAAATAAGAAAAAAAAGGTTAAAAGTAATCAACATAAAGAGAATCGTCAATTAGCCTTTTCTATATCCCTTCCACAAAAATACATATATATCTATATAGATTTAGATATACACACATCTCTATCACATTTTAGTTAAGAGGCAATGTGAATATTTATTTAATTGAAGCATAATTGACATACAATATCCTATTAGTTTCAGGTGTACATCACAATGATTCAATATCTGACAATGTGCATAATTTAAAATGGTGCTTCTCATATACTGTAGGTGGAATGAAAAATGGTACAGCATATAGCTCCTATTGGAGGGGAATTCAGTAACATCTAACAAAACCACATGTGCATTAAGCCTTCGACCCAGGAATATCACTTTTGGGAATTTATCCTCAAGATACACAAACAATAATACAAAAATTCATATAAATAAGTGCCATACAGAGCTACAGCAGGAACCAAACGCCAGCAGCACCCTGAGTCCAATCTGGTCATAGTAAGCAACTTTAAACAAGATACTTGGCTTCTATGTCTCTCTGGCTTTTTATCACTGATCTTATAATTATATCCATGTTCCTAATACTCTTAAGCTTCTTGAATAACTTATGAAAAAATACACTAGCAAAGAGGCTGAAGATTCTACAATAGTCACACTTACTCATTCACCATGGCTTTGCCATTTTGAGGTCAAACAAGTTTCATTATCTGATAACCCACCTAATTGATCAAAGTCAATATGAGCCAGGCAGGCAATACACTGTTTAAATTCAAACCCAAAGAAGAGAAACAGAAGGCGACCACCACGTACAAGGCTTACAGATTTCTGTAGCCTTCTTGGCAATGAAGGCAGCAGGTATTTCTTTTTCTTTCTTTAGGCAAGTACGGAAAAACATAGCTACAAACTCTTTCGTTTTAACATTTAATATTACCATGGAAATGAGGGGTCAGCAAACTTTTTCCGTAAAGGGCCAGACAGTAAACATTTCTGGCTTGTGAGTAACATCCGGTCTCTGTCACATATTCTTCTTTGTTCCTTTCTATTAACAGCCCTTTAAAACTGTAAAAAACATTCTTAGCTTATAGGCTGTACAAAAACAGACTGTGGCCAGATTTGGCTGCAGGTAGTAATTTGCTAACCCCTGATGTAAATGATTATGAACAGAATATATATTTGTTGAATGAACTAATGCCACTAAAATAATACCTCAAACTCCCACTTTCTGATTTTCAACTTAACACCAAACATCTTAGATCCACAGAAAAAGATGCAATTTAAAAATTAACATATTAAAAACTCCCCAAACTGATATGAAATCAAAGAAAAGCTTCACATAAAATGGTCTACCTCAAGGAATTGTTAGCTTCATTTTTTTTTTTTTTTTAAAGATTTTTTATTTTTTCCTTTTTCTCCCCAAAGCCCCCCGGTACATAGTTGTATATTCTTCGTTGTGGGTCCTTCTAGTTGTGGCATGTGGGACGCTGCCTTAGCGTGGTTTGATGAGCAGTGCCATGTCCGCGCCCAGGATTCGAACCAATGAAACACTGGGCTGCCTGCAGCGGAGCACGCGAACTTAACCACTCGGCCACGGGGCCAGCCCCTGTTAGCTTCATTTTTGATAAGCTACCAGAGGAGACCACCTCTGCTAGTGACTGCTATGAAAGAATGATTTAGTTCAAAAATTAGGTGGCATTTTTCCTGTCAGAACAACGGAAATAGAAGACAAACAAGCATGCTCACATTTCCTGAGGGTAAGACCCTTTTGCAAACCAAATACCCTTAAATGGAGAAGAGTATACAAATGCACAAAAGGACTGTATTTTTAAACAAGAAATAGACTCTAAAATGAAAAAGCAAACACATTCTGAGGAAACAGGACAATTCTTTCCATAAACTAGGGCAAGATTCACCTGCAATATATGTATATAACAAGTGCTCATAACTGCCCCCTCCGAGTTTCATTGAGATATAACTGACATTATAACTCTTGACTAGTAAGATTTTAAATGAGAATACTAGCTCTCTAATCTCTAAATATTTCTTCTGTTTCTACACATATTGAGAACTCTCTGGAACCAATGTCAGGGAGAAGCTAAGAGTTTGCAAGGAAACAGGCAGATGTGCAGGAGTTCCACTAAAGCTATCCATGCATTTAAGACGAGGGAAAGCACCATGATAATGACCATAATTACGTGTGTGAATCCCCATAAATTCTCAGCTGATTACTAATTTAACCTCATTCCAAAATACTTACAGGAGTAAATAAGAGCGGGAAAGAGAGTTTCATTTCTCTCCTGAGCTGTTTCAACCAGCAAACGAAGTGGACCTTTTGGACACAAAACAGCCACTAAATCTAGAAAGAGAAAAACAGAAAAGATATCTGAAAAAAATGCAGTGACTAAACTTGCAAACGGATGTGTTAAAGGAAGAATTAACCAAGGGAAAAGGTTTAACATTTTTTTTAAACAAAAAGATGTTGAACGAATATGAAACAAATAGCAGGTAAACTAGGGGGGGAGAAACAACACAAACGAAATACACAAAACCACATATAGAAAGAAGATCCATGCAGATTTCACTTTGGTTTTGACTGCTATTTGGGTAGTTTAGAATGTATCATCACTGGGTTCTGGGAATAAGTCTCCCCAGGATGAAGAAAAGAGGCAGAGATAATGACAAGACAGAACTATTCTAGAGCAGTTGTCAATTTCCAATAAGCAGATACAAGTACAAGCCATTTCCAAACAAATCACACCTCTAAGTCACAAATAGCAGCTTTACTCTGAGAGGAATTTAATAGAGGGGACTTGGCTGAACTTTTCAAAATATGAAGAACAGAGTAGAAGAGATCCGTCCCTGCTCTTTTTTAAAAATAGCCTATGTACTGCTTAGGGATATTTGAAATAAGAGGGTAGTAAATTTAAACAAAACAAAATAACTAATAAATCTTTGCATGAGAAAGTTGGGTATTTCTTTAGTTCTCCTCTCAAAAGCACTGCATAAATATTCAGGTCTCAGAATACATGTGGTGCTAAAAAGTGGCTTATTTTACAAAAACAGCAACTCAGAGAGGAAGCAATATGCCTAAATTATTTTTGATTCTACCATCATCTCTTTCTATCAACTGCAATTTTTCTTACATTTTCTGTGTCATGTGAATTTAGAATATAGAAATACAGAAAATAATTTCAAACACTTAAAAATATAAAACAGGTATAGCTGAATTTATAAACCTTGTGTTGTGTAAACACAACACAAGTATAAACACAGTAAAAGACCTGATAGCTTGTGTTGACATTACTATTATCCAGATGCATTTAAGTAAAACACCCTCATGCCTGCAAGTGGTCATTCTCCTCGTATATCACTATGACTGCTAATAAAATAACACAACACACACACAAAGAAATCTCCACTCTCAATGCTTTCACTTCAATTTGTTTTGAATGAGAAAAGGAAATCTGCCATGCTCTGAATTAATGAGACTGGCAACCTGTTTGAGGCAGCCATGTACTTTAACTGTCTTGGTTTTATGATACTCTCCCCCTTGTAGAATTGCTAAATGATAAACTCCCTTGGATTTAGAAATACACCATGTTTCATGTAATTAAATTTTAACTTGTCTAAGCACGTCATAAAGGCGCTCTAAGAGGCCTACAGCCTGTGATTGGTAAGGGGGGTAAAAGTTCCAATGAACATCTTGTTCAAGAGCCCAGTGTTGCATAGTTTTAGAAGTGAAATGGTCATTATTAACAATGTCTGGAACTTCAAAGTGGATAAAGGGAGGCCTGTACTGTGGCTTTAACATGTACAGAGACACATGTAACCTTGATTTATATTTTGGGTGTCCGTGAGGCAAGAGATTCTCACAGTTATTTTCCCCAAAGAAGGAAATCTTGGATAAATAATTGTTGTTGTCACCGTTAGTAGAACCAGATGGCCAGACCGACGACAATGGCCCAAGAGTCTGTAAAAACGCACCGATGGAGCCAATTGTTAACCAGGGCAAGATGACTGCCCAAAGTTCAGCTAATTTTGCTGACCCTTGGATCCTATTCTTTGATCAAGGACATCTGGATTAAGAAAAGTAGGAGCTCTCCAGTCAGCTCCATCACATGTAGTTTGATGCTGTCCATAAAGTGTACAAACTCCTATTGCTGTTCACTCACTTGATCCCAAAGGGCTCCTGAGGTAGCCAGGGATCCAAGAAAGGGGTGATTTCCTCTAGCACTTTGTCAACTGGCAAGGGACCGAGGACAGAAGAGGCTACCCTCTCCAGTAGGGGATACTCTAGAGGGCCCAGACTTAGCTCTATCCTACAGGTAACATTCCTGTCTTAACAAAGAGGCCCCGGTGCCTGTGCTGAGCTTCTAGAATGCTGCCTCCATGACTCACAGAAGGGAATGGAGCCTCACAGATTCAGAGCCTGTGAGAACCTCTGTTTCCAGGAGACCTCAGTATGCAGTCATCAATTGCCATTCTGAGGGTGTATAGCATGGGACTGAAGAGGGCAGTTTCTCATACCAGAAATTCATGGGCAACTTATGATCATCATGGGTGGTCTAGAGATTTCAGGAGGTATGAGAGGAAGCTGCTAAAGCCTCTGGAGTAAATGATTCTCTGGGGGCAGGGGGAGGGGACATTGATGGGAGTGACTGTGGTATTACAATTTGGACAGATTCTAGAGCTCTTTGTTATAAGGAGGCCCCAATTCAAGATGGGTCAATTTGTGAGTAGCAGCATAAATAGGATTAAGAAAAATTTGTAAATGAGGAATACGTTGCTTCCAGATCCCCAAAAGGCCTAAAAGATCCTGAACTTGTTTTCACATTGTGCATGCAGAGAGGATCAACTGCTATTTATCAGCAATGTCAGAGATGCAGAAGCCCTTAGCTTACCAAATAATTTTCAGGAATTTAATCAACGTGGCAGGGCCTTGTACTACGTACAGGGAAATGCCGATTGCCTTTTTATGAGCTCCTTGGTGAAAATTTGTATGTCCTCAACGAGTATGTCAAATGCACCTCTTCAGAGGATGATATCATCGCTGTGATGTTCTATCTGTGCTCCTGGAGGAAGCTGGATGTGGTTAAGATCTAGCCTGGGAAGACTGTGAGCAATGGCAGGAATGCTGAAGTACCACACGAGGAGCTAGGTATGGATATACTGTGTCCCTTTGAAGGTGAGGCTGTTGCAAAAGTCACTGAACAGAAGAACCTAACAGTAAAACCTCAGACTGCAAAGTATTTACCAGTTGCTGACTGCTGTAAAACCTCTGGATGGAGGCCAGAACTGGCATTCTCAACCACAGCTAAGCAATAATAGGTGAGTACTGTGCAAACTATCAAGTACTACATAAGCTAAGGTCTTTATGAAAGTCAGGCATACAGTATCTGACTTCTATAGTTCTATGACTGACTGCTCAAATATGAGAACAGAACCAATTCAATTCTATTTCCACAGACTTTTTCTTTGTCAATCAAGTGGGGACGATGAGGTTTCCTACTATAGGTCACCATTTTAATTAGCATTTGAATAGAGATAAAAGAGCACTGTCTAATTACAATATTAAGACCACATATATTGACTATGAAAATGGATCTTTCTGGCTTTCCTGCAGGGCAATAGCCACAGAGTACACACCTATAGAGCTGCCGTGGTCATTCACGGCTGGGGCACATTCTGACCGTTCAGGACCCACGTCACACTGGTTGTTAATGAACTAGAATCTCACACTGCTCAAGTAAGTTTTATTTTTAAAAGAAAAATTCTACCCAAGTTGCCTTATAAAAAGTAGGTGAATTAATTTTGATTTTAAAAATTGAGCATTTTATGTGAATTAACCACTCTGCTGGTGCTTTTCAACATACATTCTGAACCCATACAACTCTGGGAAGTATTGTTCCAATTTTCCAAACGAGGAAACTGAAGCTCAAGGAGCCTGAGTCACTTTCCTAAGGTCACAAAGACTGTCAGTGGTAGAGATGGGATTTGAATCTAAGTCTTCTGACCAGAAGTCTATAGATCCTTCCACTAATCCATCACTGAGTTAAACTGTGGGCAGTAATAAAACATTTTTTAAGAACTTAACCTCAAAAAAAAAAAAGAAATCTTTATATGAAAAAGATATTATAGCTAATTATTTACTGAGGAGCTATGGAATGTAACTGTTATCATTTTTCTAAGACAAGATAACTGGAAGAGGAAGGAAAACACACCAGTGAAGTACTTCTGCGACAAACAAAACGTCAGTCTTGAGTTTTACCGTATATTGAAATCACAGCCAAGATGAGCCACGCAGTCCATTCCGGGAGGTACTTGATAAATACGAGGGCCATGAGGGCACTGATCATGATGAGATACGCCTGCTGGAGTCGGAGCGGACCTTTCCAGTGAATGGCAATCATTCCCACCACGCCAAAATTCCAGATCAGAAGAGCAACAGTAATGTAGTCCATGGCAACGTTGTAGGTTTTAAACACTTCCCTGAAAAAAATTAGACAGAGATCTAAAAAGACTTACGTACAATAATTTTCATCAAAACATTGTTTAGAATTATGGTTCCCAAACATTAGATAACCATATCCCATCTTCATATTTTTACCATATCTTAAATTAACTGTGCTATTCTTTAGCACTTTTCTTTAAATTAATTCACTTTTCCTCCTCAGAAAACTCTGTATCATTCATATAAATAGGAAACCAGTATCACAGGCCACAGCTGTAAAACTAAGTACAAAACCTAAAAAAAGGCCATATACCACCTAAAATGCCATACTTTTGTTTGGGAAACCCTAGTTTAAAATATCTGAAATTGGAAAAAATTAAACATGCGCGATAAATTTTATAGCTAGAACATATGTTATTTTCATAAAATAAAATTTAGTACACTACTAAAATACATATGTTTTATACACACACAGACAGACATGGAATATAGGCATGACACACTGTTGCCCGAAAAAAAAAAAATCTCATTTATGTGAAATAACGTGTGAGAAGGGAAAGCAAGAGATTCACATAATTCCTGAAAGGACGACAGGATTTATCTTTAGATGATGGGAATCTGGTCCCTTTTTACTTTTCTTCTTTATAAGCTTATAAAATGTCTTTTTGTTTCTTTTTTTTTTTTTTACAATGAAGGTTTAGCATTTTTATAATGAAGAAAAATACTATTTTAATTTTGGAGGAAAGAATTCCACCACCTAAAAACAAAGAGATTACAAGTGTAGAAGACGTCCTGGGTACCTGAGGAGAAAGAAAGCATTCATTTATTCAAGCACAAACTTTGGGTTATGGAGACTATCCAGAAAGATAATCTTCCCCCCATTTTGAAATTCCAAAATAAATGTGGAAATTTCTGGACAATGTAGCTATTCAGATTAAGCATTTCAGATATCCTAGCACTCAAAAAAAAACAAAGAAAAACAAAGCCCAAACTATTATTAATCTTTGGTTAGGTAACATATACATAAAATATAAAATTCACAACACATACTGTGAAAAGTAAGTTTCCCCTCCCATCCTGTCCCGCAGTTCCCCTCTCCAAAAGAAAGCACTATTATTAATTTCATGTGTATCCTTCCAGGGAGTGTATAAATATATAAAACATTGGACTACGAAAGGACCTTTTAAGTTATATAATTTAAAAATATTATCTACCTGTACATATATTTTTTAAATTCCCCATTTACTGTGGTTTCCCTTACTTCTTTTATGGTTTCACTTTTTATTTACATTTTTAATCCATCTGGAATTTATCCTAATAGAGATAAGGAAAAAATCCAATTTTTCCCCCAGATGACTACCCAATTATCCTTACACCAATTACTAAACAATCCATCTGTAGCCTACTGATTCTATGCTACCTTTATCACAAGTTAAATTCTCATATATATTTGAGCATTCCTCTAGTCTCTCTAATCTCTTCTATTGATCACCCATCTATTCACGGTGCAGGTATCACTATTTTATTTACTGTGGTTTTAACAATTTCAGATCAGGTAGCACTAGTAGCCCTTGGCTTTCTTCTTTTTCATAATTCTTTGGGGACCTTCACTTCTTTATTTTTCCAAATAAACTCTGAATCATCTTGTCCAGATTAAAAATAAATCCTACTTGTATTTTTATTGGGCTTATATTAAATTTTAAAATAAGTTTAGAAAGAATTGACATGGTTATGATATTGTCTTTTTTTATGTAACCTGGTATAACTTTCCTTTTGTTTAAGTCTTCTTTCTAAGCCCTTCAGAGGCATCTAAAAATTTCTTAATAAAGATCTTGTACAATTCTTGTTTAATCCCAGATATTTTATCTTTTTTGCTGCTATCATCAACAGGATTTTTCCCCTTATGTTTTCTAACTAGTTTATGTCAAGGCCATTGATTTGTGTTTATTAATTTTGCATTCAATTGCCTTACCAAATTTACTCAGTGATTCTAATTGTTTTTTGGTTAGTTCTGAAATGAAGTAAACAATCATTTTATCCTTATTGATAGTTTAACTCTCTTTTCCAAATTGCGTAACTCTGATCTCCTTCTCTCGTCTATATTCACCGTTCCTCCAGGGCGCTGGTAGACTACAGTGATGAAGGAAATCATCACCTTGTTCCTGACCTAGGGGGCATACTTTTAGAGTTCCCCTATGAAGATAATACTGGCCTTCAGAATGAGATTCATACATTTTATCATGTTGGAGACATAACCATCTATTTGTTTTATTATAGAAGTTGATCAAGAACAGGTATTGAATTTTATCAAATGCCTTTTAGCACATACAGAGATGATGACCTAGGAACGTGGTGACTTATATTGATATTTCCCAATAACAAACCAGTCTTCCACTCTGCAAACAGACTCCACTTGGTCGTAATATGTTATTTCTTCAATGTGTCGCTGAACCTTGCTTAATATTTACTTATTCTTTTGGCATCAATAAGCAGGATTGGTCTACAGTTTCCTTTTTCTTGATAATTTATAGGGTTTTGGTATCAAGGTTATGCTGGCTTCATAAAATGAATCTAGAAGCTTTTCTTTTTCTCTGTTCTGGAACAGCTAAAATAGTATTTGAGTGATCCAGCTCCTTAAAGTTTTAACAGAATGTCCCTATGAACCCGTTTGGGCCTGGCGTTGTTATCGGTGCAGGTGGGATGGGAACCTCTCTCTTCAACCATTTTCTGTATTTCTTTTTAATTAGATTTTCTATTGCTTCAGCAGTCAGTTTTGGTAATTAATTTTTTTCTAGAAAATCATCCATTTCATACAGATTCTCAGATGTGTTTCTTTTAGTTTTCTTGCTTCTGTTCCTAATTTAAGAGCTAGTGCAATGGTTTACAAACTGTATTCTGCCACTGGGGCTAAGCAAAAGGGCAGGCTGGCAAATCTCTGAGCCTCTCTACTCTCTTCAACAGAGCAGCTTCACTTTTTTCTATTTTATGTGTGAGATTTTCATATAAGATTTCATAGGAAAGAAAAAAGATCAACTGATGAAATAATAAAGTATGAAAATCAATTAATTCATGTTTACATACATTCTTGAAATACTTTAACATTCTGATTCATAGAATTCTACTAGTAGTAAAGAATATAAAATTCTTCACTAAAAGAATTTTCTAAATTCTTTACTAAAAAGGCTTAGAATTAACTAATCTTGAGTTCTTTCAGTTTTACTTATTATAAGAAAGGATCAACAAAAGAATAACCCTATTGATAATATTAATGAGTTTTATATATACCAAGTATGACCTATATATGGAAACAATTAAAATTTAAGAGTAAGTTATCAACAAAGTACGTTGCTTTAAGTGACAGTTATAGAGCCCAAATAGAGTTGATTTCTGAAAAACAAACCAAATATTTCACCACTTACCCCAAGTAAATGATTGAGAAAAAGAACAGCAACAACAGAGATGAAATAATAAGCCAGGCATGGATGACCTAGAAAAGAGTTTCAGTATAATTAACAGATGCCGTAACCCTAAAAAAGGGCAAATTTCTTCAAAAATTTATTTTTCTTTCTTAACCCTTGGATGCACATTGAATCACTGGGGGAGACTGTAAAATGGACTGACGCCTGAACTTCTGGGTCTTTCAGAGCTCCTAGGTGAATCCACTGTGCATCCAAGTTTGAGAATAACTGGTCTAAACACATCAGATTCAAAGGTAAATCAGGCATTTCCCCTAATCTCCAGGAATTTACTAAATTATCGGGCAAATTCAGACCCAAATAAACAAAGAGCAAACAAAACAAAACAAAAACAAAAAATTTATTTCTTTATATGTTATCCCCTTTCAAATAGCAGAACACAAACAGCTTTAGGATCAGTGCATACTTATAAAGAACTCTTTGGTGCTGAACCACTCCTAATATAAAATACAAATTTCAGGGGCTGGCCCCATGGCCGAGTGGTTAAGTTCAGCGGCCTAGGGTTTTGCTGGTTCGAATCCTGGGCGTGGACATGGCACTGCTCATTAAGCCATGCTGAGGCGGCGTCCCACATGCCACAACTGGAGAGACCCACAACTAAAAATACACAAGTACGTATTGGGGGGCTTTGTGGAGAACAAGGAAAAAAATAAAATATTTAAAAAAAAAACAAATTTCAGCAAGACATATATAGATCTTCATTCCTTTAGAAAAAGGTGAAATTTTAAAAATAAAAGAATATATTCTAAAATATCAAATTATCAACAGAGTCAACACTTGACATTTACATTTTAAAGCAGTAATATTTTCAACGGAGGAATTTTGTAGTATTGCTGAAATAAACATTAAATAAATTGAATAAAATAAAAAATAAAATAAATAAAATTCAATAAAATTGAAAATCAGATATTCATTTAAGTGATCTCTGCATATATAAACTATACAGAGAAAATAGGCCTTCTCCATTATGTAACCATTTGGCAAAAGAATATTCAGAACCTGAAGTTTCAATAAGCATTGCAATGCTTTCTACGTTTATTTTACATGGTTCATTAATAAGCATTACTATTACAAATTCTTTGAAACACTTATAAGTCAGTCCATCATTATCATGCAGAATTCATACAGCACTATATAAATATTAGTCCCTATTATTCATGTACATCTTATTAATATGAGAGAGAGAATCAGAATTTGATTTTTTGTAATCCATTACAAGATAAAAATTTTAAATGGTAGTGGGTATATTTGGGAAAATACTATGTAACCGAAGGAATCTGGGGTTTTTAAAAACAGAATGGAGAAGCATGATAAATTGTCAAGTAATTTCCAACCAAAAGCGAAATTATTTTGAGGTGGATACACCCATTACAAACTTTAATCTTCCAATAAATTGTATTGTTTAAGACAGAGTCTTAAAGTGGCTACTGGAGCCACTTAACCAACAACTTCTCCAAACAGATCTCTCAGGCAGAACAGATCAAATCAAACCTTAAAGAAAGGAGAGGAAAGAAAACCTCCAAATCAAGAATATGATTTTGTCTTCATTTTTTAAAGTCTCTCACACCCACCTCCCAGATCTAGCTGCTCCAATAATCAGGCTCTAAGCTATCAAAATCTAGCTGTGAGTAGAATCTACATTAATTTTTCTCTTGTTGTTCTGTTTTGTTCACCCAAGGTGATCTGTGATTGTTAATTCTTTTGAAAGAAAATATTTCTTGAAAATTCTGGCTCTTTTTTTCTCTCCCTTTCTCTAAAACAACTTTATAAAATGGTACAACTTGGAAAAAGGTCAAAAGAGTGGCTTTACACAGAAGTTGGTATTCCTTGATATTTGAATATTCGAAATTGACTACCCAAATATCACAAATTTAATTTCTGGTGTTCTTCCACAAAAATTCCCCCCTAAGATTTTAGCTTGAGGGTTTTATGCTAAGCAAAATAAGCCAAAGACAGATAAACACCACGATTTCACTCACATGTGGAAGACAAACACGTGGATAAGGAGAACAGAGTAGTGGATGCCAGAGGGGAAAGGGTTGGGGGGAGGGCCAAAGGGGTAAAAGGGCACATATGTAGGGTGATGCATAAAAACTAAACTGCTGGTGGTGAACACAATGCAGTCTATACAGAAACTGATATACAATAATGTACACCTGAAATTTGCAGTTATAAGCCAATATGACCTCAATAATTTTTAAAAATTTTCCCCTAACATTTTATAAAAATTTTTAAGCACACAGCCAAATTTAAAGAATTTTACAGTGACCACCCATACACTGCCTAAATTCTACCATCCACATTTTGCTGTCCTTGCTTTGTAACGTCTACCCATTTCTCCATCTATTAGTCCATTTTATTTTTAATACATAGCAAAGTAAAAGGACACTTGTACGTTTTCCTCTAAATACTTCAACTTTAGCAAAATATTCTAAAGGGAGCTTTTAACCTATTTCATCTTCAAAATAATCAAAACGCTTAAGCAGAAAGGAGTCTTTCCACCTGCATCTCACCTCATCATGCTTAGAAGTCTCAGCTTTAGAAATAATTCAAGTTACAAAACTAAAAAGTATATAAAATATTACAAAACAGAAAAGCTTTAAAGGGTGGGAGATATACATTGGTATTCCATATTAAGCTCCAAATTAAGGGACAGAGTAAATATTAAATACTAGAAGTTCTTATCTTTCTTGAGAAACGCGTTTTTTTTTCCCTGATGAAGATGGTCCCTGAGTTAACATCTGTGCCAATTTTCCTCTGCTTTGTATATGGGATGCCGCCACAGTTGGTGTGATGAGCGCTATGTAGGTCCGCACCTGGGATCTGAGCCTGTGAACCCTGGGCAACCAAGTAGAGCGCGCAAACTTAACCACTACACCACGGGGCTAGCCCCTTGAGAAATGCTTTTTACCTTGTATTTTTGGCAAGGGAACATGGGGATGTTGTTTATTTGAAACACTAAAAGAAGAAAACAATTCCAACTGACCAATGACAACCAAAGTTGGTATTTTCTTTTCAGACATGTTTTCTGTCTGCATGTGTAAAGATCTTTTAACAAAATTAGAATCAAATAATACACAATTTTACATTTTACTTTTTAAAACTTAACTTTTTATTACATCCTCTTATGCCACCAAATCTTTTTTTGAAAATATAATTTTTAAATGACAATAATAATATTCTACTTATATGAATGAACACACAATTTAACCTTTCCCTTATGCATGAAATCTGTGGTGCTTTCCTTTTTTTAATCATAACGTATGCTAGGATGAATATCCTAACGTGCAAATATATTTCTACATTTCTAATCCTTTCTTTGGGATAAATCATGAAAGCAAAACTATGGAATCAAAGAGCACTGACTTGTTCTAATTACTGACTGTTGATATATATTGGTTAGTGACTTCACAAAAAAGACTGGATTAATCTTTACCAAGTCAATAGGTGAAATAGGTTCATTTGTTATTTTAATATGTAATATGTATTTCTTTTTTTTGCTAGTGAGGAAATACATAGACATCTCTCTCTCTCTCTCTCCTGGCCATCTATATTTCCTTTGTAATTTCTCTGCTTGGGTTTTAAAAGTTTCTTATTAGGATATTCATAATTTTCTTAACAATTTGTAAATGCTCTTGATACTGTAAAACTATTAGCCCCCTGCCTGTAACAATGGTTGTAAAGAGTTTGTCTATTTAGTCATTGATGTTATGATTTTCTGAATTACTACCTGAATTCAAAGCCTCTTCTGATGATGACTAAATAGCACCTCCCCTTTTTCTAGAACTTTGGGTAGTTAAACTGGCCTTTCTCTTCCTGTAAAACTCCCTAGCTCAGCTTGCCTGTGCTGAAGGCTCTGAAAGGAAAGAGGCCTGCTTCAGCAGGGCAGCAAGTCTCTGCTCTGAACCCCCACTACCCAGGCCAGAAACCACGTGATTTAATAAGCCACATAGTTTCATCTATGACAAATGACCTGTAATAATTAACTGCCTTTCCTGTTTCTACCATTTTAAGGTTTGTTTGGTCTTTTTAGCTTCTTGCATTTCTCATAGACATTGCACAACCAACCACTGACATAACAAATCCTCAGGGCTTATTTCCAAACAGGTCCTGGCAAGTTTCTGAATTTCTGACTCAAAAGCTCCTTTTATTTTATACTAGGAGTCAAAGTAAACAACTTGTTTCCATAGAACTGGCCGTGCTTGCTAAGACTCCAACATTAGAAAGCAAAACAACACAACACAAATGAATAGTAAATGTGGAAATCTGGCTGAATATAAACCTTCTAGACTGTCTAAAATGAAGCATAACTAAAAGATGAATAAAACTGACCAAAAATATATCAGGACAGGTTCTAGGTAACACGGCGGAAAAGCACCTTCCACCCTGTCTCTCCCACTGAACGCAACTATAAAACCGGGAGAGAATGCACGCAGCGGCCGGTGGAGGACTCCGAAAAGTAAACAGAGGCAGGCGGGCTGGGGAGTCAGAAGCACCGGGGAGCCAGCAGGGAGTTTACCACTTCTTCCCTCCAGTGCTCCCCTCCACCTGAACCCAACACAACCCGAGTGGGCCTTAGCGAGACAAAGAGGGCACCAGGAGAACCAAGTTCTGGATAGAGGAGCAGGAAAGCGGTCTCCTAACACCGTCAGAGAATGCAAAAATCTCAATTTTTGTTTTTTCCTTTTCTCCAGTCTCTCAAGCCCAGTCTCCAAACCATCCTGTGACGGCAGCAATGAGGACGGCAGGAGCCTATAGCTCCCAGAGAGTAGGGCAAATAGCCCTTGCTTGATTTCTCTCTCTGTCCTCCCACCTTAAGCCCTGACATTGGAAAAATCTAAAGCTCAGCTTTCTGGCTGGGGGAATGCAACAGAGAAGTCCAAAAGAACCCAAAAGTACCAAGGAGATCATAGAAAGGAGGAAGCTCGGGAAAGCAAACTTTTACAGCTGTTGTAAACTTGTGGGCCCATGCCCAAGGTGCACAGGTATGGACACAACCCTAAACAGCATACACAAACTCCCTATAAAATGTGAGAACAAAAGTAGCATAGAATCCAGATAAAAGTCACAAAGTGAGTCCAATAAAGCAGAGAAACAGAACTGGCAAGTCACCATTTATATGCAGACAAATACATATGGTGAAAAAAAGTATAAAGAAAGGTAGTTAAGACGTGAGCGTATTTAAACAGGGGGAAGAGAACGGTCCCCAGCATGGGTTTCCATCATTTGCTCTTTGGCTTTCTGACTATTGACAACAACTTGTTATCATCATACACCCTTTTTGTCTTCAATCTTCTCCATGTGCTAATATCAGACTGCAGATGGTCATCACTTAGGTTAACACTTCTACCCACTCAAATGTTCACCAAGCAAGGTTAAACTCTGTATAATTTCTAAACCAGCGAAACTCTGGGCTGCCGAAGTAGAATGTGTAAACTCAACCACTTGGCCACAGGGCCGGCCCCTGACACTATCATTTTGAAAAATTTTGCATACCAAGACAGTTAAAAATATGTAGATAATTTTTCCCAGAAATTCTGTGTCTAGGATTTTACCCTAAGGAAATAATTTGAAAAACTGAAAAAGCTCTATGCATCAAGACATTATTTTTTAGAACAGTAAAGAACTGGAAATATCTTAAATGTCCAATACCAGAGAAATTAGCGGAAGTAAATTACAATATACTCATTGAGCCTAACCAGCCCTGGTGGTGGTTAAGATTCGACACCCCGCTGTGGCCTGGGTTCGTTTCTTGGTCAGGGAACCACACCACTCATCTGTCAGTTGTCACATGTGGTGGCTGCAGGTTGCTGCGATGCTGAAAGCTATGCCACCAGTATTTCAAATAACAGCAGGGTAGCCCATGCTGCACAGGTTTCAGCAGAGCTTCCAGACTAAAACAGACTAGGAAGAAGGACCTGGCCACCACTTCTGAAAAAACTAGCCATGAAAACCCTATAAATAGCAGTGGAGCATGGTCTGATACAGTACCAGAAGGTGAGAGGATGGTGCAAAAAAACCTGGCAGAGTTTTGCTCTGCTGTACACAGGTCATGAGGAGTCAAAATCGACTCAATGGCACCAACAACATTGAGTCAAATATTACATAGCCATCAGACATATTTTCTAAGAATTTATAATATGAAAAAATCCTTATGCCAAAGTAAAAGTTGAGAAAGGACATACACTGATTATATTTAACCACGTTAAAAAATATATGGAAATAAATACTAGAAGGAAATAGAGCAGATTTCAATATTTGGAGAGTTAATACTTATTTCCTTTATTTGAGAATGACCCTAAAGGTTCATGACTCGTAACAATTTGTCATTTTTCTGAGGCATGAATCTGAAACATGTGCCAGGAGGCTGAAGTTCAGGAGTGAGTCACTTAGAGAGTGAGCTAGAGGAGCAGAGGCTGGGAGGGCTGGGCCTGTGTCTTTCCTGCGCAACGTCCCCTGCCCTTATTTCCCAAGGAAAGAAATAATGCTTCTACAGGAGAGATGGTGAGGGAACGGATGTCTACCAATTTAGAAGCAGGTATACAGCCAGTCATCAATGAGCTTAACACCGCATTGAAGATAGCTTTACTGCTCTGTACTCAAGTATGAAAATCTGAATTTTTTTAGTCAGACATTATTTTATGGGAACAATTATATCCTATAATGCTATTTGTGAGGGAGGAATTCACAAAGGTCTTAGGATATATCCTTTTGGAAAGTCATAAGTATACTGCAAATCAAAATGTTAAAATCATTTAGATTGTGATATTATATGAAAACATTTGTTTTCCATTTATGCCTTTTTGTATTTTTTAAATGTTCAGCAGCAAGGGAGAAAAAACTAAAAATCAACTTAGCTGCAGAATATAAGACCCTTTTTTTTTTTTTTTTTACTAGACCAAGTAAGGTATGTGACAGGAAAACCCAATCATAAAAAGAACACAGTGGAAAGCAAAGCTCTGTGTCTCACGCTCACCTTATAGCACCTGTATTTGTACAGAACCACCAGGAGAATAGTCATGACAACTATGACGCTGATCATGATAGCAGCATTCAGAATTGAGTGCAGGGCTCTCTGCCCCACAGTATCGGTGTCTTCTGTGAATGGGGTATAGATTCTAAAATAAAACACAAAAGCCCAGGTAAACATTAATGGATATCCTAAACCACATACCCACTCCAACACCAGAGTTTTGTTTCCTTGATTCAACTGCTATAAGTCACTTTTTTCCATCTCATCAATCTAGCCAAGAATTCTTAACCTAAGAAAAATAGCTATACTCTAAGTACTTCAACATAAAAGAAGATATCTAAAATATGCAGAGGTGGACTTTCGAGAGCAAGACACTGGCTCCATCTAGTGGATGCTTTATATTGAAATAATTACCTCATCAAATATTCTTTCTCCACAGCTCATTAGTGATTTGTTAAAGAACCGGATTCGGCCACATAAACTACCTAGGCTACAAATGGTTATCAGAGGAAGGTAAAATGGCTTATAACTGTCATCTTTCACCTGTAGCGGGACTGCAACTGGAGCTGTCTTGGGATAATGTCACATATCCATTGTTTCTGTTGTTTCTCACTCACATAAAAACACTTTCACTCCTGGTGCCAATGTTCCCAGCCAAAAACTTTATTTCTGACTCCCTTTAGAGTTGGTGTGGCCGTGAGACTAAGTAATGGCCAACGAGTTATAAGCAGAAGTGTGTGAAACTTCTAAGAAAGGGGTTAATTCTGCTGAGAGATGTGTCCTATGTCCTTTTCTCCCCTCTTTCCTGCTTCCTGCTGTCTGAATGAACCCTGGGGTCCAGCACCAATACTGGGCCCTGAAACAACCTAAAGGATAGAAGCCAAAGCAGGAAAGAAGGAGCCTGAGGCCTTCATGAACCTGAAGCCACTAGACCAATTTGGACTGACTACCTCAGCACTACTCTGTGGGAGAGATAAAATATGTATATCATTTTAACCAGTTGTTTTGATTTTCTATAATGGGGTCAGCAAACTTTGTGTAAAGGACTAGAGAGTAAATATTTTAAGTTTTGTGGGTCATATGGTCTCTGTTGCAACCACTCAACTCTGCCATTGCAGTATGAAAGCAGCCATAGACAATAAACAAATAGACATGGTTGTGTTCCAATAAAACTTTATTTATAAAAATAGATGACTGTGGGCTATAGCTTGCTAATCCCTGTTCTATAATATGTAGCCAAACCTAACTCTAACTTATATAGATAATAACCCCCAATCTCTTTTGCTATTGTCTCTAACCCCTGTCCTTCATTGTCTTAGCCTTTCTCCCAAAAGGTTAAAAGCTTGGCTTTTAGAAACCCACAAGGTTTTTCAGACTCTTGCCAATTTCAAATTCCAAAATTTACTTAAAACTTTTTTGAGCCCCATGAGAATCCTGGAGACAGGACCAGGTGACATTTTTCTTAGAGGCAAAGGGATGACACCACCAACAACAGAGAATCTACACGACGGTTCCCCAAGAGTCTAGAGAGTGCCAGCACGCATTAGGTCTTCATCCTTTCATTTAACAACGTTTTTTTGCTGAGCATTTATTACATAATTTGCCCTGGAAACAAAGTGCCCTCATAGGCCTTATGGTGTAGAAGGAAACCAGGTATTAAGTAATGTAAATACATATTTGCATATTATGACAAGTGAAAAGAGAACAGGTCGCTATGAGAAAGAATACAAGGAAGGACCTAATTCTGTTAGGAGGATCAGGGAAGTTATCTTTCAGGACTTAACAGTTGAGCCAAGATGAGAAGGATGATAGGAATTAATCTACCAAAGTTAGAAAAGGAAAGAACATTCCAGGCAGAAGAACAATGGGCCCAATGGCCCCGAGGTGGGAAAGATAACTATTCAACTCTTACCCTGCTCAATTCCAAATAAATTCAGCTCTATCTAGTGACACCATATGGGAAATAGAATTCTACAGCTTTCCTTTTCTCTGCGTAAAGCATCAAGGAATAAATAACCCCTCGCTTGCTCAACTGCTTCTGGCCGTCAGAGAGGATGGACTCTCTAGCCTTCTTGCCCCTTCAATGCAGAGGCCTTCAGGTGATGATGACATGCAATGAAGAAGTTATACGGGCCTTGAGAATAAGAAAACAAAATACATACGTACAGCTGCCCATCCTTCCGGGTATAAAAGCTGACTGACTTGATGGTAGCCACAACCACCACCATACAGAGAGTCACTGGGACAAAGAGCATGATCACATGTTTGGCGCCATATTTCAGCGTCAGCTCCTCATCTTCTTCTTCATCTTGCTCCACCACCTGCTGTGAGTTAGAGTTACTCTGGGGTCGTCCATTAGATAATGGCTCAGGGTTGCCACGCCTCCGCCTTTCGCTACTGTGCTCATGCCGGTCTCTGTTCTCATTCTAAAAGCAAAAGGGAAACTTTTTCAGTGAGTCAGACTCTCAGTAGAATCAAGGTATTCTATATCAAAAACAAAAAATGTAACAATTAGACCTGAGATTAACAATAGGCTCATCATTACTTGAGTTCTAAAAACGCGGCAAGAAAGGATCAATTTACAAGAAGAGTGCAGTTTAAAAGTGTAGATTACTCACTGAAGGAAGCCAGGTACTCCCTTTCAGCTGGCTCTTGGTATCTCATTTCTCCTTGTTCTCAACCTAATACAATTGTTCTCATCTTTTTGAATTTTAGCTTAAAAACTGACACCTGCATGAAACCTTCGTTATTTGCTGCAGCTGCAAGAGAGTAATCTCACCTTTTTCAAAATCATGATGCACCTTCTACCTGTGATTCTGTACCAATTATACAAGGAACTATCTCACCTTCATTATTAATAAGACTTCAAATCCTTGTAATGAAATACAAGGGATCTCTCTGTATTATTTCTTACAATTGCATGTAAATCTACAATTATCTTGAAAAAAGTATTCAACTAAAGAAAACCTTCACAGAGAGAAACGAGGCCTCCAACAGTGCTGGTGCCCCTGCCCCATCCCACCTTGCCCCGTACAGCGTAAGGAAACAATAAATACTTGAGGAATGACGGAACAAAATTAGAGCCTTTCTGAGATTCTGCTTTCCTTGGACTCTTAAGCCAAACACCACTTCATTACCTTTATCCTTATCCTGGGTTTATCACTTCCTACTCTTCAAGTTCAACTTCCTTTTTGGTATCACTGTTCATATCTGACACTTAGTTTTTGTAAAGGGTAGAATGAATTCCAAGAGCACTAACAACAACAACAAGATAAATAACTGATAGGAGAAAAATAAGAGGCACTCCTCCTCCTCACAAGTAAGTAAATAGAATGAGATGCAAGTAGATTGGTAGTCACTGTTGCTGGTAAGATGTAATCAGCTTGGTTAAGAAAGGGTTCTCTTAGGAGGAGCATGTAAGAACCACCACTCTTGTATCTCACTTCTGACCAGAGAGGATAACTAAGTATTACTATAGAATATTTCTATTATTAATTTAAAATACATTACACACTCAATAGCTTAAAATTATTACAATGTACCAGGGGTTGTGATGTGCGCTTTACATTTAATTCTCACAGCCACCCCATCATCACCACTTTACAGGTAAGGAAACAGCCACAACTAGTAAGTGTTACAGAGCGGGTTTGAACCCAGGTGTGCCTAATTACAGAAATCAAGTTCTTAACCACCTCTCAATCTGCCATTCACAAGACAACATGGGATCTTTGCAGACTCAGTGTGGGCTGAGTTCTCTTTTACTTTCAATATATTCATCCCACAAGTAACTATCAAATTCTATATTCTGGATACTCTGCTGTGGCAATACTGAAATTAATAAGATCTAGATCCTGTCCTTAAAAAGTTCATAATTAGTTTTAATATAGGCTAAATATTACATAAGAGATATGAATAAAGTGCTATAGGATGGATTAATTCTGTGTGGTCAAGAAAGGCAAAATAAAAGGTATAGAGTCCGGCCACATGGCCAAGTGGTTAAGTTCACACGCTCTGCTTCAGCAGCCCAGGGTTTCGCCAGTGCAAATCCTGGGCAAGGACATGGCACCACTCATCAAGCCATGCTGAGGCTGCATCCCACATGCCACAGCTAGAAAGACCCACAACTAAAAATACACAACTATGTACCAGGGGGTTTTGGAGAAAAAGGAAAAATAAAATCTTTAAAAGCTTAACTCTTAAAAACAATAAAAATAAAAGGTATGATTCGTGAGCAGAATTTTCCAGAGTGAGTGGAAGGTGAATGGGCTCCAGGCAGAGAGACTAAGAACAGCAGTGAGACAGAGGCGTGAAAACCAAGAGCAAGGCCTGTGCAGAAAACCAGCAAGTACTCCCGCAGCGGCTGGAGCACAGGGTCTGTCAGTGCTGGTGGCAGGAAAAGAGGGTTAGGAACAGGTTGTTAAGAACCTTGTTTGCCACACCAAGCACTTCAGACTTTGTCCTGTAGGCAACAGAAAGTCATAAAAACTGTTAAGGCTGAGGAAGTAACACATCAGGTTATATTTCATTTTTAAGAAACTTGACTGAGTGGCAATGGAAAATAGGAGAAGCATGAGAAAGATATTTCAGAAGCAGAATTGACAGGGCTTCGTGGCAAATTACCTCTGAATGGTCAGGAAAGAATCAAAGATGACTCTGGAGGTTTCTAGCATAGAGACTACGAAGGTGGTGATGGCACTGATACAGATAGAGAACACAAGATGAGCAGGCTGGAGAAGAGGAGAGATATCTCAGTTAGGGAGATAAGTGAATCTGAAGTACCTGAAACCACACAGGAAAGACCAAAGGCAGTTAATAATTTCAAGCTTAGAAGAGAGCTGGGGGAAGTCCTTAGTTTCTATAGCTATGGAAACAGATGAAATCTCAGGGAGAGAGTAGAGATGGGAAGTAGAAACAGCATGGACATCATTAACGGAATACAATAATTGTGCATGGAAAAATGCAGAGTGAGATGATGACCAAGGAAAGAAGTCCACATAACTCCCAAGCTTAAGCAGCAGGTGATGGGAGAAAAACCCACAAAAGAGATTAAGAGAAGAATAGGGAACAGGGAAGAAAACCCAGGAATCGATACATCACAGAAGGCAAAGGAGGAGTGCATTTCAAAGAGGTGTCATCAACAGGCAAGATGAGAGCCCAAAAGCCACTAATTTGGCATTGGAAAGTTCACCAACATCTTTACAAAAGTAAAACAGTTAAAAGGAAAGTCAGATCATAAATCACAATGGATTGGGGAATGACTGGAAACTGGGAAAGCCAATCGCTCTTTGAAGCCAAAAAAAAAAAAAAACAAAAGATGTGACAACAGAAGGGATTCAAATTTGAAAAGTTATTTTAGAGATGTCAGACACTTGAGCATGCTTGTCAGGTCAAAGTATAAAGTGAGGATTAGAGAAAGAGACTGACGACAAAAGAGAGGGAGACGGTAACTAATGGAACAGGGTAGGGGAGAAACGGAGGGGAATGAGAGAACAGTTGGCCTTACAAAGGCATTAGTGCCTTCTATCTCAGTCCGGAGGTCAAGAAGTACCTCTGACCTCAGAGAGAAAATATTTATGAAGACTCACACCCTATAAAGAATGGAAAGGAAAGGAAACTATTAGCACAGTAGGTAGAAATATATATACACACCACTCACCAAGAAAGGTAAGTTTTGCTGAACACAAATGTCTACAGTGGTCCAAGTCCAGCAGGAAGGAAATGGTTATGAGGAAGGTGGGATCTGGAGGACAGGGACACAGCGCAACAGCCGAAGAGCAGGAGAGCGAGGGAATTCACATTCTATTTTCTTAGAAGGAAGTGACTAAGCCTATGCTAAGAATGCTACGTTTGTGACTAATGGTCAGCAATACAACTATGACCAATTTGATGGGTTGATTAATGTTCAATACAAACTAAAATACAAGTAATAATAGCCCTCAATATAGTATTTAATAACTTACAAAGCACTCTCACATGATCTCATTTATTCTTTTCATATGTTGGGAGGGTTTGGCAGGGGAACACTAAAGCAACTTGTCCAAAATCTCACAGCCAGAAATAGCAGAGGCAGGAATCAAATTCAAGTCTCTTGCTCCAAAACCTGTGTTCTGTCTATGGGACCATGGCTGTCCTAGTAGGCTCCACGAACAGTTTAATTGGGTAAGTCTAGCACGAAAGAGGCAATCACAATATGCTCATTCACAATACCCAACCGGATGTTCTGGTTTATAATGAACATTGGCCAACTCCATCTTGCCCCGTCCCCAAAGCTGACATGCGATACTACAGCACTGTTTAACGCGCACACACATGCCCTTTTCATAGTACTTTGGATACTATTTTTAAAACTGACTATATGTTTTAATTTTTTTAAGTACAATTTATTTATTTAAACAGGTAAAACATTCACATGGTTCTATATCAAAGAGTATAAAAAGATGTAGAGTAAAAAATCTCCCACTTGACTTTTTACTTAGATTCCTAATCTCCCAGGTTACCAGTGTCATTGTTCTCTGCAAATCCTTTCAAAGTTTCTTTACATACACAAAAGCAAATACAAATATATATTTTCATTCCCCTTTTTCACACAAATGGTAGCACAACAAATGCACTGTCCTGCACTTTGCTTTCTTTGCTTAACTGTGTATTCTAGAGATTTTTTTTACATATCAGGGAAGAACATCCTCATCCTTTAAAAAGTTTTTTTAATCAGCTACATAGCCAGTTTATGAATATATCACAGTTTATTAGGCTAATCCCCTAACTATGGGTACTTAACTTGCTTCCAACTTTTTGCCATTACAAACGCTGCCGCAATGAATGCCCTCTCTAAGTTATTTCACATCTGTGGGGGCATATTTGTAGGATAAACTCCTTGAAGTAAAACTGCTGGGTCAAAGTATACATGCATGTGAAATCCTGATACATATTGCCAAATCGCCCTCCCTATGGGCTGTACCAGCTTAGACTCAGCAATGTAGTAGAGTGCCTATTTCAACAAGCCCTTATCAACACAGTAAGCTATGAAACACTTGGATTTTTACCAATCTGACAGGTGAAATATGGGATCTCAGTGTAATTTTAACTTCTATTTCTCTTATCAGGAAAGATGAGCATTTTTTCTACGAACGACGCATTTATATCTTTTGCCATTTTTCTATTTGGCTTATGGTGCTTTGTTTTAGTTTCTAGGTATAATTACTACACTTACCAATTAATTAAAAAAACAGTGAATGCCAGCTATGTACTAGGTGCCAGGGATACAGCAGACAGATAAGGTCTCTGCTCTCATGAACTGATTTCAAGCAGAGGAAGACACACAATAAACAAGATAATTACATAGTGAGGTAGCACTGTAACAGGGTGATGTGATAAAGAATACAGGGGATGGGACTACTTTTAGATAATGTGGCCAGAGAATATCCTTCTGAGGAAGTGCCTTTTGAGCTGAGACCTGAAAGATGTGAAAGGCCTACTGGACAGTAAAGGATTAACTCAGCAGGTCAGGGGTGTCCAAACCCTGCACATGACAAAGAAAGATTTGGCCTGGTTCCTAAAAGATATAACCTCTAAGCCCTTGGCATATCCTGCCCGTTAAGAGTATTTCTGTTTATATGAGGCCTTGGGTCACACTATTAACAATGTGATCTCTGGTGGGGATCTTGGGCCACACAGTATCCGACTGACCTTGGGAGGGGTTAGAGAACTATGGTCAGCCATGTCTTTGTGACCAACTCTCAATAAAACTCGTGAACATCAAGGCACAAGTGCACTTCCCTGGTTGGCAATACTCCGTGCATGCTGTCACACTGTTCCTGGGAGAATTAAGCACTGCTCCCATGATTCCATTGGGAGAGGACAACTGGAACCTTGTGCCTGGTGTCTCCTGGACCCTGCTCTATGTGCCTTTTTTTGTTGCTAATTTTAATCAACATCCTTTCACTGTAATAAACTGTTACAGCGAGTATAACAGCTTTTCTGAGTTCTGTGAGTCCTTCTAGCTAGTCATTGAACCCCGAGCATGGACTTGGGGAACCCTGGATATATCTGTACACTGAAGACTACAAAATATTGCTAA